AAGGAACATGGAAAAGTCAGTTATTTTCTTGAGCTTGGTTGGAACTCTTCCAGACAGATGAGACATCCCAAGACTGGTTCCTATTAACTGTCAGTTTCCAGTTGTCATATTTAACAGCACCAACTATCAGGAAGCTTTTCTGTTTCCTGTAGAGAAACCTGAATTTTAATCTCTGTGGAGTAAAAACCAGACAAAAAATGTTAAAAATAGAAATTTTACCTTTACTCAACAAGCATAGTTACATTCACCAGTTGGTAGAGGGAGAGCAGAATCCTAACCTAAAACCTTATTCATTGGAGCCCAGCAGTCAGATGGACGACTTCCAGGTCTTTGAATAGGAAAAGTATTAAAAAGTTTTCCTTGTGAGCTTGGGTTTTCAAAGAGGATCTCTTTGGAAAGTTGGCAGTTACTTTCCTGGCATGAGGATTGGGGTGTGTGTGTGTGTGTGTGTGAGTGTGTGTGTATGTGTGTGTGTGTGTTTTCCCCTCCACCCAGAGCTATGACAGGGTGGAGTATGCTTCCACGAAATTACACGTTTCCAAAATAGAATTCACTGTTATATTTTACCACCGTTAGCACTGAATCTCTAATCAAAAATGAGCAAAAACCAAACATGCTAGAAATAGAATTTCAGCTCATATTCTCTAATTTAATCTTCATATAGGATAGAATTATTATACTTTACAAGAGCGCCTTTGAAGCAAAAACATGCCAAACAATTTCCAAAGTGTTCCAGATTTCATTCCCCTTTCTGCGATCTCCTGTCGTCATCTCCGCAGTGTCACGTGGTTGTCGTAGCATGTCATTAACGCTGTTGGGATTCTCCTGTAGTCTGGATGGCTTCCAGGAAAGAGCTCTTGCTTTCTTCAGTCCTCGGTTTTTTATCCCAGTACAAGCCTACGTCTGACCTGAATGACCAGGAGCGATCCTGGTGTTCCTTGCTGGTGGATTAGGACATCCCGTTGCCTAGAGCGGTGTAGATCTGTTATAAAACTCCCTCGTGTGTTACAGAGGTGATAGCTGTAGATGTAATTGGAATCAGCACAATAAGAGAGCTATAATCATTGTTTTGCTCGTTCCCATGGATTATATTCCCAGAGATATCAGCTGATCAGAGGCTCTAGCCATGGCAGGTAATGTTAGGGTTAACACCTTTTTAAAATGTTTGACTCCTTGGTTCTTAAAAATGGAGCCCTTAATAACATGCGCGAGAGAGAACCAGGACGTCAGGGGTTCAAGAGAGGACGACTATCCTCACAAGGCAGAGACTGTTGTAAACCTCTTCAAGATGTACCTCAGCATTAAACCAACTTCCGCATACAGGAAGTGCTTAATAAGTGTGAATATCCATGTTTCTTCTGAACTTGGAGAGCAGAAAATAAGTCAGAACTGCTCAAGAGGGCGCGCCTGGCTGGCTCAGTTGGTTACGCGGCTGACTCTTGATCTTGGCTCCTGTGATGATCTCAGGGTCCTAGGATCGAGGGGCTCTCTGCTCAGTGGGGAGTCTGTTTGAGGATACTCTCTTTCCCTCTGCCCCTCCCCCCTTCTCTAAATTAAATAAATAAATCTTTTTTAAAAAGTCCATTCAAGATGGCAAGGACTGGGCGCCTGGGTGGCTCAGTTGATTAAGCAACTGCCTTCGGCTCAGGTCATGATCCTGGAGTCCCGGGATCGAGTCCCACATTGGGCTCCCTGCTCAGTGGGGAGTCTGCTTCTCCCTCTGATCTCTCCCCTCTCATGCTCGCTCTCTTTCTCAAATAAATAAAATAAAATAAATCTTTTTTTTTTTTAAGATTTTATCCATTTACCTGACAGATCACAAGTAGGCAGAAAGGCAGACAGGGTGGGTGGGGAGCAGGCCCCCTGCTGAGCCGGTAGCCCACCGCGGGGCTCGATCCCAGGATCCTGAGATCACGACCCAAGCTGAAAAGCAGAGACTTTAATCCACTGAGCCACCTAGGCACCCCTAAAATAAAATAAATCTTAAAAAAAAAAAAAAAAAAGATGGCAAGGAGTGTATGGCATATAGAAGGGATTTGACATTGTAGGGTTAAGAGGAGTAGGTGAACTTTACCACTTTTTCCTACCTTGAAATTGGGTGTTCTGGTTGGTTGGTTGGTTTGTCTTTTTCAAGAATTCCGTTTGCACCTTTCTTCAGTAAACTTAGGATTCCTTCCTATCTCAAAATTCTGTGATTTTGTTGTTGTTGTTCGGTTGTTTTGTTTATTTAGTTTAGATATCCTTTCCCTTTTCTGAAGAAAGTCACAGCAGGATCCTCTGGTGATACGATGAAGTAACACTTCTTCATCTTTCTTTTCTTCTTCTCCCACTTTCCAAAGTATGGTCTTGAGACTCTAAGTGGCTGTTCTTCCAATGATCTATCAGTTTTCACAATGAACTCTTGACACTTACAAGATCTTTTGCTGACTTAGGGCCCCTTCCTTGCACCAGTTTCCACAAGGAGGCATTGTCCTTTCTAAGAACCAGCTAGGTTAGGAGCATGAAAGATCTTCCATAAAAGGCTCACGGGTAGTTCCCACTCTCCTGAAGGGAAAGTGACCTCACACGAATGAGTGGAGCTTTTACTCTTTCCTTGAAAATGGACCCAGAGGCCCAAGACAGGTGCCAGAGGAAAACCAAGAACCAGGCCAGGGAACAAGGAAAGAACATGGCAGACAGTGCTGAGGGGGAACCTTGAGGGGAGGGAACACAAGCAGGAAATGTGCTGTGCTACGTGGAAAGGGACGTAGGCTCCCGAAGCGCATGTTTCTCCTCCTAGTTCAGGTTTTACTGAGCTTTCTCCCAGGAGGTGAACCAATAGTGTGCATCAGATTATACTTTCAGACATAAATCTGTTATTTAAGTAAGGCTGTAAAAGCTGAGCTTTGCTCGTGATTGACAGGGGGCACAGTCCTTGAAGTGAAGGTGCTAATGTAAACCATTTCTGTTGGACTCTTGGAGCTCCAGATAAAACCATGGAACCTGAGATCCTTAACAGTCACCATGTGGCCAAGTTGCTCTCTGTCCCCCCCTTGGAATGGAAGAAAATCAGCACCTGTATTATGGGAGTGCGTGGGACTACACACTTCTGTAGTGTTAACTCACCTTGGGTGACACATTTGAAAGCGTTGAGCTTGAATACACCTGAGCTTGGGGACTTAACTTTAGTGATCAGGTGAAAAAAGGGAACCAGAAGAGAACACGAGACATATTTTAACGGAAGCAAACCAGATTTCTTGAGTCTTTGCTATTTTGACTTACTCTTGGTGTTTCTTTAAATTCATGCACAATTATTACTTCAGAATATTTTGTTTACTCTGATTATCTCCTATGACTGATAAAGAGAAAGGTTATGACTTCTGCTTTCCTTCCATGGAAGATGATTGCCCAAAGCCCCCCTCCCCACCCCCCTACCCCCTACAGGCCACGCCTTCAATTTCAGGGGGTCTTTAAAAGTATCCTGCCTAGTATTTCCTCCTTATTATTTGTTCATTTTCAGAAACAGCAACACTGCTCCTTCATTACCAGCAAAAGACTTTTGGCCACATGCTCTTATATATCAGGATTTAGAACCCAGGATGCCCCTAATCAGCTAAGGATAGAATAACTAGGTGAGACAGAGCCGTGTCCGCTGATCTCAGAGCACGGAGTGGGCACAAAACTTCTCTACACATACCAGGGACTTGTCTTTGAAAATCAACACAGATACTTATTATATACATTATAACTGGTTTAATCAATTGATAGGGACAGAAGTACAATTACTGATTCAGTAGTGGAGGCTACAAAATGATTATGGATAGTTTTAGGTGAAAGGTGGGGCAGGAGTAGGAAGAGCATGTCGTTTTTCTATTACATAGTAAGTTTTACTAAAAAGAATTTTTAAAAAACTCAGCATTGGTCCTTCTGATTAGAATATAGGTTTGTCCCACCAGAGACTGACATGGTCATCTGTACCCCTGTCCAGTTGACCCAAGAAGAGAGAGGAAGTAGAGACTCTACAGAGGGGTCAGAGACCCCGAGTCCTTCCCTCAGATAGACTTTGGGTTGCTATGTAATGACATCCATAATATCAAGGTAGAGATGACAATAATTAGCTCTCAGTGCTGACTGCCCCTCTCTAAAACAGAGTAGAGTTTTGGATCACTCTTGAGCTCCCTGGATTGCCATGTCCTAGTTTAGAAAAACTAGAGTTAACGGTTACCAGGAACAGAAAGGTTGTTAGCATTTGCCAAGAATTAATGCTAGGAAAAGTCTGGTCTAGAGGAGACTGTGTTTTAAGAGTGTGGTCAAAGAAAGGAGAGTCCTAGGAAGAAAGGTTTGGGGTGAGGAAATTTTAAATGCTCAGGTGACTCTAAGAGCCCAGCACACCGTCCTGGCTTCTGAGGACAGTGGTCCTCTCTGAGCCAGGACATTGCCCAAGGGCGCACTCTGTTTCTCTGCATCCGCTGGGTTGAGGGTGTACTTGGGTTGGATTTTTGTTGAGTCCCAGACCTGTGGGGTGAGCCTCGCTCTGAAGAGCTTTGTCCTCTCTGCTAGCAGAATGCCAGACTATTCGGCCTGTTTGCGATCCACCCCGCCAAACTGTTGAGTTTAGAAAACGGAGTGTTTCCAGAGTGGTTTTAGGAACGCGCGGCTGTTGGATGCAGGTTTGCCAGCTGTGATGCCCTGGGTGTCCAGGTGTGGAAGAGCATTTCCTTCCCGGTCTCTGTTAGGAAGAACTGGTCCTTATCGGGTGTTTCATCCAGGGGACTTACAATGAGATGATTGGATGAGAACGCTCTCAAACTGAGAATGCCCGGGCTGTGGCACCTGCCACATCAAACGAAGATAAACACAGCAGAGGGCGCTTCCCGTCTTTTATGGAGCTGACCTTTCTCAGCATCACCTGTGTGTCCTGCTGTGTACACAGGGTTTTACATCTAGACACATTGATCTTGTGGGAACATATTCCAAGTATGTGTTTTTAAGGTTATTTGTCTCTCTGTTCCCATGGACAGATATCAGTATTACCTGCAAGTCAAAAAAGACGTGCTGGAAGGGCGGCTGCGGTGTACGTTGGAACAGGTGATCCGGCTGGCCGGCTTGGCTGTGCAAGGTAAGGAGTGTGACGGCTGTCATGGGGAATCCCATTTTCTCTCTGACTGCGGTGTTGCTGGTCTCTCAGAGGAAAAAACTGAGTTTACTTAAACGATCCCTTAGTAACTCCACTTTTCATTCCAAGATATGTTAAAAATGCAAAAACGGGAAAAAAAGCCAAAATAGTGATTTTTTTTTTTTTTTTTTTGGTGGCAGGCTAGTGGCTTTCTGAAAGCTGTTTGCAAATCGTTCATGCTTGTATAATTTTAGTTTTATTTGGAGAAATAGCAGTTTTCATCCTGCCTTTAATTAAAGCTACATTCAGGGTTTGTGGAACATTTTCTCAGAATTATTACACTGCCCATGTGGTCATATTTTGTGGCTTCCTGGTATGACTGTGACTTTCCCATCAGTTTTCAAGTGTGATAGCTTTAAACATTGTAGTATAATTTATTCTCACACAGTTAAAGAGAAAAATTTAAAATGCATCGTTGTAGGGGTGCCAGGGGGGCTCAGTCGGTTAAGCGTCTGATTCTTGATCTCAGCTCAGGTCTTGATCTCAGGGTCATGAGTTCGAGACCCGATGTGGCTCCATGCGGGCCTGGAGAGTACTTTAAAAAATAAATAAATAAAAATAAAATGCACAATTGTAATATGAAGCAACAAATAAAAGAGTTGAGTTCATTTGCCTTTCAATCTGTCCTACTTAGAATTATCAGACAGCAATTTTTTAAATCTTTCTAAATTGTTACATGTACTTTTACGTGGTTTTATGTAACATACATGATTTTTACATAGATGTATACATTACTCTTTATTGAGTGGTGGCTTAATGGCCTTTAATCAATATTGAAAAGAAGATCAAAATGTAATTTTTTCAGTAGTCATTCTTTTTCCTTAAAATCAGTTCCTGTCCAAACGGAATGCCAGCCGCTGAGTCCTTACTGTGTGGACTGTTGTTGTAGGAGCTGTGAGCTGAACTTCCCATCCCAGACTCTGAACTGCGGTTGAACCTTTTGGGTTCTGGAATGTCTAAAGAGGCAGCCTTCCCTTGATCTCTTTCATCCCGGGGTATTAGCAGTTTAGCAATTTTTGTTGGACATACGATTCCTAGCAGTGGCTGCTGTTGTTACCTTGTGGATGAAAATACACGAAATATGTTGGATCCCATCTGTTCACTTACAGACTATAAGGGAAAGGAAGAGTGCCCAAAACGATTAATAGAACAGAAAAATCATCAAAATAAGAGAAGGCACCTTTAGTACAAAAAAGAGAAGATCCCCTCTGTCAAGTGGATCTTCCTCCTTTCAAAAAGCTTTCTCTTCTGTTCACTTTATTACTGTCTTTTTACCTCTCTCACTTTTCAATCATGGGGCTTATTACAGAAATCCTGGGTATCAGAAGACCCTGGCGATAGCTTTCAGGCTGAGGGAAGTTGGTGTACGTAGCCTGGCTTCCCTTTTCACTGGGTCCTTGAGGCTAGCTGTTCTATCTGAGGGAATCTCCCCCAGCTACAGTGTTTGTAAAATGGTTTTCCCGGGAATCCTTATGGGGTATTTAGACCCAGCAGGAGAATTGTAACTTGAGATAAAATATAGATAACTGATGAGTAAACTTGAAATCAAGCTGCACGTGATCTCTGCTGTCTTTGTGTGTGTGTGTGTGTGTGTGTGTGTGTTTAATTATTTTTATTAACATATAATGTATTATTTGCCCCAGGGGCACAGGTCTGTGAATCATTAGGCTTACACAATTCACAGCACTCACCATAGCACATACCTTCCCCGATGCCCATCACCCAGCCACCCTCTCCCTCCACTCCCCTAACCTGTCTTGAATGTTAATGTTGATGTGATGAGTTTAGTAGGTACGTCCTTGTCTTCTCAGCAACATCTCTTCACTGGCCTTCCGTGTGGACTCCCGCATGCCATCTCTCCTGTTAGATGCCAGATCTTTTACATGAAATTAAGTTTGTATGCTGTTTTGATTTTTTTTTCCTTCTTGAGAGCCAGTGGGATGAGAAGCAAGACATTTCCAGATCGACGATATGGGCTCACTGTGTTTTTTGCATGTGCTCAGACATACCGTCGTGAGATGAAAACAGGACAAAACAGAATTTCTGGCATCTTGCAATATGGGAACTTGTTTGGGAGGTGTAAAAATTTGCAAGGTTGCTTGCCAAGGGTGATTTACAGTGGGAATTTCCAGCTGCAAATATATGAAAAGATGCAGATGGGTTTGGCTCTTCAGTTCTCTTAATTAACCTTGAGTTAAAAAGTCCCCTTGGCAGATATTCTTAAGATATGTGTTGGTGCATATTTAACAAAAACATAAGTATAGGTTTGTTTCAAATTTTTAAAATAGCTTAGGGATCACTTTCAAATTTCCCCATTTTTTTTCCCCCTAGAAAATTGTGTAACAGCACTTACATGCTGATATTTTACAGTATTGCTAAGTAAAAGTGGTGACGATATCAAACGCATTGTGGCACTGTTTTCATTTACTAGTGTGGAAATAAGGTGAAGTAGGATAATAAATGTGGCAGTAATTTTACTCTTATTTTATTCCATCTTTAATTTCACTTACTCAATCTCCTTCCCCCCCCTTTCTTCTCAGCTGATTTTGGAGACTACAATCAGTTTGATTCTCAAGATTTCCTCAGAGAATATGTGCTATTTCCTATGGTAAGTTTAATTTCCTTTCTCTTAATTAATTTTCTATCTTCTTTGGCTGTGTAAGTCTTTCCTTTGAAAATCTCAGAGGATTTTCCGTACACATATTCCCTGGAGAAGCAAGTCCATGCATTTATAAAGTAGGGACACATTTTGTAAAAACACTGGAAAAATAAATGTGCTTTTTCCTACCTCCTCAAGACACTTCTCCATCCCCTCAACACCCTCCCCACCCCCGATCCCCAGTTCCACTACTTTCCAGAGCCCTGGTGCTCTTCCTTTCTGAACACATCAAGCTTGCTCCTATCCCAGAGCCTTCGTCTTGGTTTTCCTGTACCTTCAGTGCTCTGCCCCAGATCTTTCTGTGACTTGATGCTTAGGTCTTGATTTAAATATCACCTCCTCCAAGAGGCATTCCTGTTATTTAACCACCTGTGTGATAGACGACAGCCATCCATGACTTCCTGCTAAATCACCTTTCATGTGCATATACTTCGGAATTCTTTCAGTATCTAAACATGTTCAGTATTGATTGTCAGCTAGAATGTCAGCTGTAAAGTCGTGAAGCAGGGGACCCTCTCTGTCTTGTCACTGTTGTCCGGCATGAAGTCTGCTTGCATAAAAATTCACTGAATGAGTCCATGAAGTCAAATGTCCAATCTTGGGTTAAATTAGGAATGAGGCTAGGTTTTAATCCCTGGGGAATGTGTGTGTGTGTGTGTGTGTGTGTGTGTGTGTGTGTGTGTGTGTGTTTGGTAGCTTTGGGGTAAATGAGAAGAGTTATGAGGAGGGATTAAAATGTTTGAAAAGCTATTCCCACTCCAGCATCCTGGCTCTGATTTCAGAAACCCTGATCATTCACCCCTCGTTTGTTTGTTTGTTTGTTTGTTTTAATCGACTGTTTTGTTCAAAGCACTAACCTGGATAATTAACTCCTGGAGGGTGAAGTTATTTAAGAAATGGTGCTTCTTCTCAGGGAGGCGTTAGAGTAGTTGAGTAAATAGGAAGTTTGCAGAACAGAAGGCGAGGCCGAGTGTAATGAAGGGCAGTCGGGATTCTACGAGGGGCGAAGTTACATCCGCTTAGGGGGGGATCGGGAAGGTTTAAAGACGAATGGTGTGTGAGTCGGAGCTCAAAGAGTGGCCAGGATTGCAGCAGGCAGACAAGAGGGAGCCAAGCATGATCTAGACGGAGAGAGAAAGAGCAGGGCTAAGGTGGTATGAGTGATTGCAAAAGTCAGTGATGAATTTGACTGTCGCTCTGGAGTGGCAGAGGGAAGGGACCGCAGCGAGGATGAAACATCTCAGGACTGAGAACACCTGGGCTCTGTCGGTGGATGTGCAGACCCCACACTTTGAGAACAGCTGGATTAGAGCATTAAGACCATTCGGGAAAGTAGGTCAGAGGAGAATCTGAGCAGTGCTCTTGGCAAAGAGGTAATTTAGGTGTTACGAGTGACAGTACAAATAAGACGGCAATGCAAGAGATATTTTGGAATTAAAATGGGCAGGACTTGGCATCCAGGGGGCTGTGGCATATGGGAGCCAGTAGAGTGGTGACAACGGGTCAGGTCTGAAAGCCTAGCATGAATAGAGCTGCATTTACTGTTCCCCGTCAGAGTGTGCAATGATCTTGAATGGCTGCAGACTTATCTCATTCTTATTGTTTGGGGAAATACCGTAAGATCTCTGTGTTTTTCATGAATAACTCTGTCCTTATTCTTCTTCCCTCCAAGAAAACGGCAGTACTATCTGATTGGTCTGTCGTTTTCATGCCTTGTTAATTCTACCCAGCAAATCGACCTTCATTCAAAGAGATCAACGTATTATTTAGCAGAGAAACTCTTCGTAGGGTTTGGTGCCCACAGGCTTGACGTAGATGGTCTCTGAGGCTCACCTTAGTCATCGGGAGGTTTCCCGCTGGGCTTGGAGGGAGGAAAGTGAAGCTCATACCTTGGAATTTTAAGAAAGAGTGTATTTTTTTGTCAGTGGAGACAATGAATTGGGTTGATAATTTTCTACATTTCCCCCTATTTTCTCTCCTTAAAGGTCTTAATCACATAGCCTTTAGGCAGAGGCCAGGCATGGGTGCCATTTACAATTTTTTGTGAGTTTGTAGATGTTAAAATGCTTTGACAGGTCCAAGGGCCATCTGTGAAGGCTGGAAGGAGTTATTTTGTATGTGATGCCTTTTTCAGAATGAGACTGTTCTCCACTGGGCTCTGAGCAAACCAGATACTTTGAACAGCATAGACCTTGTTAAATCTCACTGTGGATAGACAAATATGGATATGTTAGTTTTTTGGAACTTCCCTCTCCTGGGGGCGCCTGGGTGGCTCAGTCGGTTGGGTGGCCAACTCTTGATTTCGGCTCAGGTCATGATCTTGGGGTCTTGGGATTGAGCCCCATTCAGCAAGGAGTCTGCTTGAGGATTTTCTTCCTCCCCCTCTACCCCTCTCCCTCTCTCAAATAAGTCTTTAAAAAAATAAATAAAAATTTAAAAAATACCTTCTTTGGGACCTTAGCTACTTATATTGACTGGTGGCTATTTACATTCAAATTTAAGTTAATTAAAGTTGAAATTAAAAATTGAGTTCCCCAGTTGCATTAGCTACATTTAAAAAAACGATCAGTAGCCACATGTGGCTAGTAGCTACTGTACTGGAAAACTCAGATACAGAACATTTCTATCATTGCAGAAAGTCCTGTTGGATAGCACTGTTGTCAGCGTGTATGTCTGAATCTGGAATGTTCCCAGCCTTCTGCCATGTCACTCCACCCCATGCCGTAGCCTGGATACACTGTGGCCTGCGGTCACGTGGTTCGGGCTCCAGGAGCCAAGCATTCTGTGTCCATGTCCTGGCGGGGCCACTTAACAGCTGTGCAAACTCGGACTATTATTTAATTCCATTTATTTTAAAATTTAATTAATTAGTTAACTGAAGTGTCCATTTTTTCATCTAAGAGTGGGGATAGCAAGCCTATTCCAGTTGTGAGAGTGAAAGGAGAGGGTGAAAGTGACATAACTGGGCACATGGTGAATTCTCAGTGTTTATTCTTTGTGTTGGTCCTTGCCATCATTGTCATCCTATATTAGCGTGACGGCCCCGTCTCTGGTATGCAAACTCAAGGATGCCCAAGACAGTGTTTTTCAGGCAACAAGAATGTGTGCATTTTGAAATGTAAGCAGAGGACAGGCAGAGGGTACAAATGATCATTAACCAGCTCTGCATGAGGGAAACTCCAGTCTGATCATGGGAAACTTACATGTTGCTTATGGGGTTCAGTTCAGGGAGCGTTTCTGGATCACTTCCTGTGTAGGAGCGCGTGTAAGCCCGCATTGTGTAAGAGCCCTGGGATGGGCCGGCCGCGATGTGGAGAAGAGCGGCTTGCCCTTAAGTGCCTATCATGTGGTGGAGGGAGGGTGACAAGGGTACAGGATGGGGTGAGCATCCAGACAACTGTGTAAGACGGACCAAGGGCAGACTGTGGTGAGGGCCATAGGAGCCCCACCCACAGTGGAAGGGCATCGGCTTCCATCCAGCTTGGGGGGGAATAGGAGAGCCCTGTCAAGGGAACGGGAGCTGGGATGGGACCTGAAGGATGGGGTGACATTTCACTCCATGTGATGGGCCTCGGGTGCAGAGGGTTCTCCCAGGAAGGGTCGCCGTGAGTGTGTCAGGAGATGTACAAGCATTCTGTTAGGAGGAGGAGTTTGCCTGAAGCCTTGAACCCTCGAGATCGGAGGTCTGGAAGGGGGGAGGCTGGGTCACCCTGAAGAATGGTCTAAATGCCCCGCGCAGGTGTTGACCTAATTGAGCAGGCAGTGGGGAGCCATGGAAGGTTGTAAACTTTCTGCTTGGTTCCATTAGAGCTTTCAAAGAGAAGAATGCATTCCTTTGGTGGGGGAGGGAAGATGGGATGAATGGCCTCGTTTGATCTTATAAAGCAACGGAATTTGTCAAATGGCATTTCTGCAGCAGAGAAAAGAACAAAGTTAAGTACCCAGGGCCCTCCACAGGTGTGCGGCTGTGTACAGGCACGCACTCGGCCGTTCCTGTGCACGTCCTCTGCGGCGGGGGGGCACATACCTCATGGGGGCCCCGGGGTGCAGACAGAGGCGCTCGAATCATGTACACACCAGAGGGGCACTTTTGGACTTTCTCTTCTCTAAAAGTGGGAAGCTGGGGTTTCATGGAGCACTTTCCGATCTTCACTTAACCTGTTTTTATTTTATTCTATGGCCACATGCCTTTCATTAGCTTTTCAAAATTAGTAGTGGGTTATGACCTCCGCTCCATAGCTAGGGGTACGCACGGGACTCCATTTCTAGGCTACATGGTCCTTGTTGTTCCCCGACGTAGAACTGAGTGTGTCCCCTCCTGCGGGCTTGAGTCATGTCAGCAGATGGCTGAACAGGAAGCAGCACATTCATCCATTAACGCATGGAAACTCAGAGCTGCCAGGAGTTCCTGCACCTTCTCTGAGGTTTCTCAGGACCACCTGTAGGATTTCCAGCATGTAGTCACACCCTCGTTTTCCAGCTTTAAGAAAACCTCATGTTTTCCTGATTTGCAGTAGGCTCTTTCTTGCAGTTTTGAGGTAGACTTTTTTGGGGATACTGTCCCCCAGTCCCCCACCCCCAACGTTTACAATGAGCCTCAGAAGGCCTCAGCAGGACACATTGCTCAGAGCCCCTTCTGACCGCCTGTCTGGAGCTCAGAGGGAAATGGTGCATATCTGTGTCCTCCGCGGTGCTTATCCGCCTGGGGCAGGGCGCATGGAAGCTGCCTCCCCAGAGGGTCCAAGGCAGCTGGCCCTTGGCTTGAGCACCCCCAAGTTACCACCAGTGGTGCGAGGAGCTCCAGGATCATCAGCTCTGTCAGGGTCCCAGGGCCTGTTTGCTCTGGTCTCCCTGTCTTGGATTTTGCCTTCAGATCATCTCTCCATCCCAGACAGTGTTACGTTTAACGATCCCTGATGTGCTCCCGCTGTCACTGAAGGGGTGTCGGGGAGAGGCGTATGCAGTTGGCTCTCAGCTCTTGGGAGCCAGCACACCAGTGGTCCCAGAGGCCAGGAGTCAGGTGACTGAGAAAGCAGCTGTTCAGCTACGCACTGTGACCTTACAGAATTCCCTAGTTTCAGCCCGCGTGGCCTCCTCTGCTCCCAAGGCTGTCAAGTAACATCCGAATGAGCCTTCTCTGCCTTCAGGTAGCTCTGAATTAGCTCACGGATGCTAGTGAAGGTGGTAGACTGAAAAGGCGGGACACAGTCCCTTTCTAGGCTCAGCTTTTGAAAGGGTAATGGGGCTGGAAATTCATTTGCCTGTACCCCGATTGTTAACAACATGCAAGTACTGGGGTGTCTGAGTGGCTCAGTTGATTGTCTGACTGTTGATTTCAGTTCAGGTCATAATCTTGGGATCCTTGGATCAAGGCCTATGTCAGGCTCCACGCTTAGCGGGGAGTCTGCTTGAGATTCTCTCTCTCCCTCTCCCTCTGCCCCTCCCCCTGCTCTCTCTCTCTCTCTAATAAAATAAATAAGTTTTTTAAAAAACCACATGAGTACTGACCAATTTCAATAAAAGTGAGTCTGAGGGGCAGACAGGGAAGAAGGTAAATGAAAAAAGCGCTCTTCTCGGACCCTGCAGAATGTAGGCAGCGACCCAAACTGTGCCTTGAAATAGGCGTGTTAGTCATAAGCCGAGAGCCTAGGTTGTTGTGGAGAGCCATGTTATGGAAATAACTGTGGACCCTTGATCCTGCAGTGGACAGCCTTTGATTTGAAGAAGTACAGGGGAGGTCGAGGAAGGGAGGCTACTCAGGAATGTGTTCTGGAGAAGAGAGCGCGTAAGGTTTATACGCAGAACAGTAAATGGCCCTAACTGCTTCTGTGTTGATAGGATTTGGCCCTGGAAGAGGCGGTTCTGGAGGAGCTCACACAGAAGGTAGCCCAGGAACACAAAGCCCACAGGTAAGGCCAGCGGAGGATATGGTTCCCAGCGTGGCCCCTGGCGGAGTCAGCACCCCCCCACCCCCGGGTGTCTTCCAGCGCATGGGTAGATCCAAAAACTCTGCCGCTTGCCCTCTCACCCCTTTCTCCTGTTCTCTTTTTTCTTCCTCTTCCTTCCTTTTTTCCTTTTCTGCTTGACCATGAGCAAGCTCACGCAGACACGGAGAATTCGTCTCTCTGACCTTCCTAAAGCTCTGTTGCCATAGCTGGGGAAACATTTGAGCTGTGTGAAGACCTGAGAGGGGCTTTGGGTGGGAAAGTCAAGATCAAGAGGGAGAGGATCGTTCTGGGACCAATGGAGAACAAACAGGCCCCCTTCAGACCTCAGAGGACCTATGCGGGTGTCTCAGGCTCACTCATCTTGACCACTTAGCTCCTCAAATAGCATCCTCCTAAACTTTTTCCTTTTAACCCCTTTTTTTCTTAACAGTGGAGGTTTTTTTCCCCCTAGGTGGGAGAAAAATAACTTTTTTTTAAAATTATTTTTTTAAAGCAGGCAGCTTTATTCACAGAGATGTCTGAAATAATTAGTGCTTATAGGGCTGTGGCTCTTAATTAAACACTTTACCTTCCTCTGATTATTCCCCGTTGAGTAAAGGCCGGTGGGGATTATGTTAATGAATTACTGAGTAATGCACATGTCCTCACAGTTGGGTGATGCTTGCTGTTCCCAGAACTAGAGCTAAACCACAGCTCTGGAATTTGCCATCAGGAGGGTAGGACCTTCTACTGCCTTTGTTGCCCCTAACCATTTCCTTCTTTGATGCTGTCGTGATTTTAGTGGAATCCTGCCCGCGGAAGCTGAGCTCATGTACATCAACGAAGTGGAACGTTTGGATGGATTTGGACAGGAGATCTTCTCTGTGAAGGTAGCAGACCCAGCAGACCCTGGCCCGTCCGTTCTTCAGCTTTCTCACAATAGTGCAGGCAGTCGGAGAGCCGGCAATGATCTGCAGCAGGCCAGAACGACCTGGCTTCCTGGTCACTACGTGGCATTAGTTGGCAAATTCAGATTACTTTAGAATGCAAACAATTTTTCTTTCTTTCTTTCTTTTTTTTAAGATTTTATTTGTCTCAGAGAGAGAGAGAGCATAAGCAGGGGGAGTGGGAGGCAGAGGGAGAAGCAGGCTCTCTGCCGAGCAAGGAGCCTGATACAGGGCTCCATCTCAGGACCCTGGGATCGTGACCTGAGCCCAAGGCAAAGGCTTAAACAACTGAGCCACCTAGGTGTCCCACAAACACTTTTTCTTAACTAAGAGATTTTGAAGTTTTCCATGGTCTTGGGCAGAATAGCTTGTTGGTGAAACACCATCTGAGTTACTCCCAAACACCAGCCCATCCGGCACCGTGAATGTATACAGTCACTGGCAGTTTTGCAACAGGACAAGCAAATGCCTTAATATAAAGACCCTGACCTCTGGTTTTACCTGCTTATTCTCTTTTCTCTCATTTGAGCTGATACAGGGATAATTGCTTGTGAGGCAGAAAGAAACATTTCTTATATGCAATCACACTTTATTTCTCAAGCTCCATAGAGCCTGCCTCCTGGGTTTCCAGCCCCTTCGGAATCTTCTGGAAACTGTGCCTAGGAAACTGTTACAGCACAGTACATCTTTTGCAACAAATCCACCTCCTGAAGTGGGTGTGGTTGGGGGGGTGGGGGTCATGGTGCTCGGTCCTTCATAGAGCTGAGCCCATAATCCAAACTCATTTTCTTCTCTCTACTGACCAACTTCACAAAAGCCAGAGTTTTATCAGAAACCTAAGGCAACTGGCACATTTCAGCCATTTGGGCGATGGTGCGATTTTAGCACAAACATTTCCCTCCATAGTGGCTCCGCTGGCTGTTTTATTAAGTGTTCTGTTCCCCCTCTGCTGCACGTTTGCAATTTGCCTTGATGAGAGCTGCCCATGCGCATCAAGTAGAACGAGCAGGGTGGCCGCAGCTTGCGGAAAGGGCTAAATGACTCTCTTTTAGATTTGTTTAATTTTCTTTTGCTTCTCTAATGGCTGCCCTTCATAGGGTTGTCATCCATTTTCATTGCAATAATGCCTTATGAAGCCATCTGCATCCCACTTACATTTCAGCAGCCCATATATAGTCATGATATTTTGGGTCATTAAAAAATCCGGGTAAACTTTTCTTCACTTCCAGAAAACCCATCCCAGGGTTCCTTGTCCGTCCCAGGAAGTTGGGGGTTTAGTTTTGGGGCCCATTTACTTGTGCTGTTTTCAGGAGTTCTGCGCTGTGGGAAATTGGGGCCGTGGAAATAGTGTTGAAATCCACTGTGCTTGTTTCTGATGCACTTTCTGGTATGTTCTTCAGTGGGAAGAGCACAAGGGAGTACTGTACCTTGGTCTGAGTGGGCGGACAGGCACTGCTGACTCACTGCCAGGGAGTGTGATGTAGCTGGCGTTGTCTTTTTGCCCACGTATCTGTTCATGACTCAGGTGACCACCTCCAGACCATGTGACTCCCAGAGACCCGAGGATGGTGGGCGGGGCAGCAGTGCCAGTTGGGGCCGGGCCGTTGTCAGCTCTGAGATCTGCGCTCCTGCAGCCAGGGACGTTTCAGGAGCAGACTGAGGCGTGATAGAGCCCCTCTGGGTTAGTGCGGGTCCTTCTTGACCAACTTGAGCAAAGGAGCTTGCTGTGGATGTGTCATAGTAGTGTGGGCTTTTCCATGAATGGTTCTTCAGAATTTTTCAAGGTCGAAGGAGGACTATTCCACTCCTTGGCAGGCCCACCCCTCCCCCTCCGCACCGAGGAGGGCCGTCGCCTCAGTCGCTCCTGTGTTGTCGGAGCGCATGGACACGGGGAGACTGCTGGTGTCTGGAGCCTCCATCCTTAGCCGAGTTTGACTCTGAGCCTTTAAGTTCTGACAGGCACGGTGCCTAAGCATCCGTCCTGTGCTTTTGCCATTGCCTGGCCCTGGGGAACTCCTCCCGTGGTCCCATCACCAGCAGACCGCTGCACCCAGCCCTCTAAGGGCAAAGTGCCCCAGAAGGATTTCCACAGAATTTTCTTTCCCATCTCCACTTTGCCTGGCTTCTTTATATAAATGTGTGTGTGTGTGTGTATAATTATATATTATATAATGCATATGATATACATATATGTGTAATAATATACATACACATAATAATATGCATATATAATTTATATATATATATACAATTTTAAAGATTTTATTTATTTGTTTGACAGAGACAGAGACAGCGAGAGAGGGAATACAAGCAGGAGAGTGGGAGAGGGAGAAGCAGGCTCTCTGCTGAGCAAGGAGCCTGATGCAGGGCTCGATCCCAGGTCCCTGGGATCACAACCTGAGCTGAAGGCAGATGCTTAACAACTGAGCCACCCAGGCGTCCCGTTGCACGTATTTTTCTACAGGGTGATTTACTTGTAATTTCTTCTGACTCCCAAGGCACTTGTTTTCCTTCCCACGTCTTGTCTCCTGACCTTCTCTCTGCTTTGCCTCCAGCAGTGGCCCGGCCCTCTCTCTGTCCCTGTTCGCAGAGCCCTGTTCTAATGTGCGCTTTGCTGAGTGGGTTGAGAAGAGGTCCCTGCGGAGGGACACTGCCGTCTTTGTGTCTCGCATGGGATCAGGTGTTCTGGGGAACACAGAGATCCTTCTTTTCCATCTTGGGCCCAGTTGTGCACGCCCCTCTGCTCACTCCACAAAGAGGATGTCCCCGGTAAAAGCGGGGGGCCGAGGGACAGTTTACTCCCTGGATGGCGAGCCTTGTCCCCGCGCTCCTCTCAGGCACACTGGCAGCAGGCTGTGCTCTCCCAGGCAGGAGGTTGGAAACACCTGACGGGACCAGGACACCAGAGTGAAGACGAGTCATCTGGACTTCCTCAGCCCAGGGCCCAGCAGACTGCCCCGCAGCTCTGCCGTCCTCATACCCCTCCTGTGCTCATGGAGCTCCCAGCCAGTGCTGAGTGTCCCGATCCGGAGTACGAATACAGGGCCGAGCATTACCCTTCAGGCCCCCAAGGAATGACAGAGGCCAGGGCAAAGGGAGCGAAGCAGCCCAGAATATGCAGAGACTCTGCAGGGTGGAGAACTCCCGTGTCTGAAATACCCTCCTCAGAGTCTCCCAGATAAAAAGATAAAAGCATCTCTCCTCCTTAAAGGAATAGATTGCTTTTAAAAAGGAACATTCAGGGGTGCCTGGGTGGCTCAGTGGGTTAGAGCCTCTGCCTTCAGCTCGGGTCATGATCTCAGGGTCCTGGGATCGAGCCCCACATCGGGCTCTCTGCTCAGCGGGGAGCCTGCTTCCCCTCTCTCTGCCTGCCTCTCTGCCTGCTTGTGATCGATCTCTCTCTCTCTCTGTTGAATAAATAAATAAAATCTTTAAGGAAAAAAAAATCAAACACCAATCACCGTGGATACAAATAGACACTCACAATGGCGTTAAGCAGTGGAAGTCGGTGTCTCTGGGGAGAGGAAATTGTGGGGCCAGGTCTGCTGTTGGCTTCTTTTAAACAGGCTCCAAAGGACCCACTGGGTCCTGCAAACTGAGGGCACATGTGATCACACGCATGTGATGTGCGTACATAAACTATGGACGTGTGCCATTTTGATTTAAAAAAACCAAAGTGAAAAAGGTATTCATAGACGTTCATGAAAGAGAAACTTAACTGCCAACAGATCTGAGAAAATCCTGAAATTCTCTCTTGGACAGGAAAAATGTGACAATTTGAGGTAAAAGAAAACAATATATATATGTGTGTGTATGGCGCGCTGGGCTGTGCAGCAGGCTGAGTCACTTCAGGGCTGAGTTGCCAGTTGACCTGATGCTGTCTGTGGTTCATTCGTCCACGGGCAGGAAAACGGGGTGTGGCACCCCCCCCCACCCCGGCAGGGAGGTGCTGCGGCCCAGGGGCTTGGCTCTGCGGGACCCCTGGTCATCTGGTCACACCGCTCTTCTGTTGATCTGATGCAGGACAATCATGGAAACAGTGTGCACCTGGGCATTTTCTTCATGGGGATTTTCGTGAGAAACAGAATCGGAAGACAAGCAGTAATATACAGGTAGTCTCTTATTTGTCTGTTTTTCCCTTTTCCCCTTGAGGGACTCTAGAAAAGTCCACCGAAGCTCACAGGGATCCCAGTGAGTTAAGAGCTAGACTATGGGTCAGAGTTGAGCTCTTCTCAACTCAGATAAGATCAGCCCTCTGTGAGATTTGAGCAGTTACCGAGAAATGCATCTCACTTTTCCTAGAGGCCTGTTTGGGGGTTGGGGGATGGAGGAAGCTCTTTCTTCCCACTTGACTCCAGGAAAGGTGCTACTGAACCCTGCTGAGCCAGAAGAATGGCACAAAACTGTGAGTCTGGTTGGAAGCCTGCTGTCTAGTCAGTCCTGCTGGTTACCTTTGTCCGTGTTATCCGTGTCCAGTCATTAAATCCCGACTGGCTTCTTCGCATTTTCCATCACCCTCTGCCTAACCACACGTGCTAGAGGAGTGAAGACTCATTTTATATTAAAAATAGAACATTTTATATTTGTGAAAATGCATTTTAAAAGCAGTGAATTTGTTATCACAAATTAAAGGGCTGATACTTTTATTTTGTATTTTATTTTTCCATTCATTCATTCATTCATGGGAAGGGATAATTGGGTGATGGGCATTATTTCTCATTTTAAACCCTCTTCTCCGCTGAAGAGGCGAGAACCGGTATAGGGATTTGGCAGTGTCTTCTTTCTTACATGTCAATGAGCTTGCTTGGATGGGTGCCCATAGTTGTCACCGTGGTGTCAACGATCTCAAAAACTGTGTGCTTGCTTTCATTTACAAGGGCAATGTGGCCGACTATTTAGTAGAAGAACAGCTTTCCTGTGTGTGCATCTGATAGGCAGAGCTGTGCACCTAGTGCAGATAATCAAAGACAGCTCTTAGAGGCAAAGCCAAGTCCAGCTTCTGGAAGTGGATCTTGCCCAGCTGTGTACCCTCTGGATAGATAGTTGATGCAGGTTATTTTGCAAACGCCCCCCCCACCGCCACCACCAAAAGCTTCCTAATTGGCTCTTTCCCCTGCTAGGTCTCCCCCCTGATACTATTTTTGTCCACTGATTTTCTCTTAATCTTTGCATGGAGACCTTATTAAGGCAGGAGTAGGGAGAGAGAGCTTTGTGGCTGTAGAGTAAACTTTCTTTCTTTTGGACGTACTCCCTCAGGTCCATATACCTACAACAAATTATAAAGTAATCAAATGAAATACATAAATTGCACAGAGTTGTAACTTCACATTTTTATGCCCACTTCAGGCTGTCTAGGCATTTTGTCTCATGTGGTTCTCAGTCAATGCTTCATTTTCTCCTTGAGTCTAGAAAAGTAGACAAGTCTTGCCTTCCAGCTACAGAGGTTAAATCGAAGAAAATAGCCCTTTGAAACTTTGCTGTCGATAAGCCACTCATGGTTTGGTTCAGTTCCTTAAGAACTGCTTCCAGACCTCTTTAGCACTTATCTTAAAAACCCCTACAGGATGGGAATTTACTTCTACCATAGTGTCATGGTAAGAAGGCCCCCAGGTAGAGTCACACTGTGGAGTGAGGAGTGGATCCAGAGTTTTGGCAGGTGATTTGAAGGAATGGAGCCCGAGGAAAACAACTATCTCTTATCTCTAGAGACCTTCACTGAGGAACATTAGCTATGAGTCCATGTAGATGGAATCTGATGGAATTGTAAGTCAGCAGACAGCTGTGTTGAGCCCCTGTAGAGCGTATGGCCCCGGCAGATGTCTATGAACACAGTTGGTACTGAAGTAATGGAAGGACTGGAGGAAAGCCTGGAAGCCCCAGGTGTAGAACTCCTGCATCCCCGATGTGCAGGGTGAACATGGCTAAGCCCTGTGCTCATTTGTGCCTAAATTGTCTCCTCTCTGAAGTAGAAACAAGCTGCCTTGTCTACCTTAGAGAGTTGATGAAGAACCCATACTCTGTATAGATGGGAGGCAATATTATGACTTCTGATTTTTTCAGCAAACATTTACTGCATCCCGCGTGCTAGGTACGTCGCTCAATGCATGGAGGCCAGAGATGAAGAAAGCAGACTCTCTAGGCAGGGAGCCTGTGGTCTGGTTTGCCTTTGCTGGGGATCCAGTCACAGAAGTAAACAATCATTATACCATGCAGTACCCCAGAGAAGACTACACCAGATTCTTTCCTCCCATGTGGGTGGTCGGGGATGAGGAAGAGAGAGAAGGTGACTTCTGAGATGAGTCTTAAAGGAGGAAGATAGGGAAGTGTAATGTTGACATGAAGAGGCATTGGGCAGGGAATTATAGACTGGGGCGCAGAGAGAAGGTAGGCAGTAGTAAGAGATGGTTGAAGATTGGCTCCAAGTAGGGTGGGAAACGGTAGCTTACCTTCCCTTGTCTGGTGGTTATTTCATGTGTCTCATTTTAGTGAAGGTCTTCCTGAGGAAAGGGAATGAAGTGTGTGTGTGTTTATGTGTATGACCCATCACAAAAATGGAGACACATTAAACATTCCCTGGGCACTTTTTCTTGGTGGCATAATCCATCTGTAGCATACGCTGCAACACAGAATCTGTGGATTCTTTGGCCTGGATTCCTGGAAACACATGGCTTTAAAATAATATGCTTCTCTGTTATTAAAAATGGGGATCATGGGAAATCCTTTGTAGTTTGGAAATGTGAAAAACAAGGCAGAGAATCCTCAAATATTTTCCTCATCATTAGTCATGAAGGAAACCGTACCTTAAGAACAGCAGTATCTAGATGGATGTTTTATAGCATTTTTAGGTATTTAAGTCAGTGCATGTTGTGTTTTACTCTTTTGCTTGGAGAGAAAGATTGTTAAGCTTTCAAAACTGTGGTTAAATCATAATTTGTCAGATGAGACTCCCCACTAGCAGACGACCCTCCTACGCTATTTCATAGCTGCATGGAACATCGTTGGCAAACCCAGTTGCCTATCTTTTGGCCAGGTGGAATGATATCGGGAACATCACTCACAACAAGTCTACTATTCTAGTGGAGCTCATCAACAAGGAAGAGACTGCCCTCTTTCACACGGTGAGCAAAATGGAAATATGGGTTAGGGTCCGACAGGCAGCTTGCTGTTTGATTTCTCACCTCAGGATATTCTTTCCTTGCTCTCCGTATCATGAGAGGATAAATATTCTCTCAAACCGATAACTGCCTAGCCCTCGCCCAGTGCTATCATTACTCATTTCCGGATAGTGATGGTAATTTCCTGTTCAAAATGTGAGGTTTCCAAGCTGAGTTTGGACTCTGGGGTTTGGGTTCCTCCACCTGCTGTGTTTGTGGTGGATCACATGTCTGGTGTGCCACGCTCCTCAGCGCTCAAGTTACAAACCCGCATCCAGTAACCCCTGGATGATGTTGCTGGCATTTTCTTTAGCCGGCTGACCTGGATTTCCTTCCCCACCGCCGCCCAAGCAGGTCCTGACGTAGCTCAACCTTCTGTTGAGCGCCCCCTTGAGAGCCAGGACTGTTCATGCACCTCAGGGCCATCTCAGAGAAGCTCGGTGTTCCTTCCAGGCTCTGTCTTCATTCATTTCTTTTTAAAGCAGTTGGTTTGAAACTGTGTGAAGACACGGCAGCTCATCAGCGTAAGCCCAGTGCCTTGAGCCTAGATGACTCTGTAACTGACAGACTGTCTACACCCTTGGGTGGACTTCCTAGCCACATGCACCGTAGGATTTCGGCATGTGGGTTTACAGCTCAGGGTGCTGTTTTGCGCTTGGCCTGATGGGAGGAAGGGATGTGGCCCTGTTCAGGAGAATCCTAGGGAAACGCATCTACAGTCAAACAAATACTTACTTTTTCCCCGTCTCTTCTTTCCCAAGGACGATATTGAAAATGCCAAGTACATTTCTCGGTTGTTTGCTACACGGCACAAGTTTTACAAACAAAACAAAATCTGCACTGAGTAAGTAAGCGTGAGCCCGGCACCTTCCCGGGTGGCTCGCTCACGTTCAGTTCATGGGCATTTAGGGATGTCGTAGATGGCTTAGATCGCTTTTTCCATTCGCCCTCCTCCCTCCCTCCTCGCCGAAGCTAAAGGAATAAGCTGAATCCAGGCAGGAGCGAAAGATCTTTAATGATGAAGACTGTCTGGCGTAGTGCATATGCCTGGAGAGAAAATAATTCACAAATTGACTGTGAGAGCTTGACTACCTGGATGGGTCGGCCCGCATTAGTGCCTTTCCGTCCTCCAGCTCGGAGTTCGGAGGAGCCGAGCCGTTCCCAATTTGCCGGGGTGCCCCTTCGTGTCAGATGCAGAGTCGGTTCAGAAGTGTGTAACAGAGTGGCAAGCCAACTTGAAAGAAAAGAAGCGTCTGTCATCCTCAGCCCTGTTTCTCTTACACAGTTGGCTAACCCGGCGTGTGCTCCTGGGTCATGTCATCTGCCTGTAAATGAGAGGCCAGGGTAATTACAGGAAGCCTTGGAAGACACTAATAGATGTCACGAGTCCATGTGTGTTTTTTAAATCTAATTTGGAAATAAAGACGGGAAAGGGAGTCTGATACGGGAACTTAAACGTGACCTGACCTTGGACGTGGCGTCGCTGGGCCTCACGCTATCATTGCCTTTATTTTGGTTGCCTTCAAAAGACGTTCCTCAGCAGAGAACATTCGGCAGTTGGGGCACCCAAGGTGCTTAATTGTGTTTCAAAGAGTTCGGGGATATGAATGCAAGCGAGGAACTGCTTTTCCATGCCCCCAGTGGACACATCCAAGAGCGCGCGAGTATTGTCCCAGAGCAGTTCCTGCTGAAAACCGCGGCTGCTTTAGAGCCGGAGCAGCCGGAGCCTCACGTCCTGACAGACTTTCTTCTCCACACGATGGAGGCTCTTTCAAGCCAGTCATTGCAACTGGTCACTGTTGGAGGCTGAAAGGAGAGGTGATAGTCATCAGATCTGCCGGCAAAGTTTGCAAATGTAAATTGAGACGGGCAGGGACCCGGGAGCGGCAAATAAATAGCCCTGACTGGGGACAGGAGCGCGCGGGCCTACAGAAGCGCATGCGCACTCGCCCTTCTTTCGACCAGATTCCCTCTAGATCACTTCGTGTGGGTCTGCACTGCTCTGGCCTTTCCTTTGTCGGGGTGTCTTTGACACGAACAGGAATTCTGGGGTTGACTTCTGGAGGGTGCATTGAAATAAAACTGTTCCGAGAAGTGGATTTTACTGTGGTCTTCTGGTTTGACCATTTCTCAGCAAGTGGATTTATAAAATTTTCTGAGTATTTTTTATCTTGTGGTCTTCTAATATTAGTGAACATCCTATATTAGGGTGAAAACTGAGGACATTGTGTTTTCTTTTCTACTTCTGTAATAACCATTCTTCTCCTATTCCTATCAGGCATTGAGAGGTTCCTAACCTCTTATATGATAAGAACCGGGACTCTTTAATACACACACACACACACACACACACACACACACACACCCATATACACACAAAAAATCAGAATCTCAGTGCAGGCTGCATTAAAGTCTAGGATAACCCCCTGAAGTTCTATGAATCTGGTGTCATCTTACCAGCCTCCTTGTCTAGAGGTCTTCACACCCTGACCTCAAAAAGACTATCATCTTTTTATTTTTATTTTTATTTTTTGCTCACAGAGCTACTACTGCTTGTCATCTTCACATATAGCTCCAGGGAGTGGTTCCCGTATTTCTTGACTTGAGAAGAAAAAATTCAGGTCTTATAATAATATTATAAAGCCTATAATCTAGGTCTTATAATATTGTATTTGTCCAGTTGTTAAAAAACATATGACATTATTCTACTGCTTCCATCACTTCATAAAAGAAAAGATACAAAAGTGTAGGAAAGGTGAACTATCAGACTAAGGAGAGTGTTTTAAATTGAAGAATTCTAGCTTTATGGAAAACTCTACAGGTCCTGTTTTGTTTGTTTTTGTCCTTTTATGATTTCACTGAGCACTACTAAGGAAAGTGTTGCTCTGAAATTTGGGACCATTTCTCAAAGGCTCCTTTGATTTCAGTGCTCCAGAATTTGATAATACTCTTAGTCCCCACACATTTTTATCTCTACATTAAAAAATTCATGTTCAGGGGCGCCTGGATGGCTCAGTGGTTAAAGCCTCTGCCTTCGGCTCGGGTCATGATCTCAGGGTCCTGGGATCGAGTCCCGCATCGGGCTCTCTGCTCAGCAGGGAGCCTGCCTCCTCTTCCTCTCTCTCTCTGCCTGCCTCTGCCTACTTGTGATCTGTCTGTCAAATAAAAAAATAAAAATAAATAAAAATAAAAAATTCATGTTCATTCTCAGTCTGGAAAGGATCTTATGAGATAAATATTTGTAGTTGATATTATCTTAATCTAAGAACAACTTTATATGGTCTTACTCAAACATATTTAACCTGTTTTTTATTTCATTTGACTGGCAGCATTTCAAAAAGTATTTTTTCTACTTGTTGTTTTTCATTATGAAAGATTTTACACATACACAAAGATACAAAGAATACAATTTTTAAAAATCCACGTAATAATAGTGAAATTTTTCAGTCTTGCTTATTTCTCTCATAATCTTTCTTTGGAAATAAGCCTTATTCTTTGGTAAAATTTATTATCTAAGGGTCATATGCTCTAAACATTTTGAAAATAAAATAATAAAAAAGGAAATCAAAATTTTTCATTCAGAAAATCAATGTTTACATTTTGCTATAAATTACTTACCCGTCCTGTCTGTTTTCCCCCTTTTCTCCCTCTCTTGTCTGTGTCTTATAAATGTAATGACCATTCTCATTTTTTTAACTTTCTATTTAGACAATCAAATTCTCCACCCCCCATCAGACGCCAGCCCACCTGGAGCCGGTCCTCTCTGGTATGTATAAAGTCTTCAGCAATCAAATGGTCTGACTGTTGGGAATGGAGTGGCCTTTTGTTGCTAATTTGAGAGGAGACATGCCTAGGGTGCCATGACCAGGTGAGATCTGATGAGAACCCAGAAGAGCATCAGTCTGCCAAGCAGGTGTGGTGGACATCCATTGTCCCATTCATGTCCCATCATGTGGGACATCCACGTGCCCATCTATGGCCATCACTTCTTGAAGTGTGGCTCAAGTTCACCCCTTAAGAGTAAGTCTCAGGGCCGATGAGATCATGTTTCTTAAACGAGTAACCTATTACATGTGTTTCGTCCCCTCGTTCATTGTGGTTTTATCACTCACTGTTCCTGGTTGCCTCATACAGATGTGTCTTCAGTTAAAAGCTCCACGATTTTTTTGTATTCACTGCCCATAGATAGAGCTTAATAAACTAGACAGAAAATGCTTTTTAAGGACACCGGGGTGGCTCAGTTGGTTAAGCGTCCAACTCTTGATTTGGGCTCATGTCATGATCTCAGGGTAGTGAGATCAAGCCCCACATCCAGCTCTGTGCTGGGCATGGAACCTGCTTAAGATTCTTTCTCTTCCTGTCCCCCCTCCCCCTTTCCCTCTCTTAAGAAAGGAAGGAAGGAAGGAAAGAAGGAAGGAAGGGAGGGAGGGAAAATGCTTTTCAAATGAACCCAAATTGAATGAGTTTACTGTCGATGGTCTCAGGTAGGGTTTTCGGTAGAGAAGATTAATTCCATATCTTCCAATTTTAAAGTCAACAAAATTGATTGACTGAACTGATCTGCTTTTCTAACTAACATAGTTGTTGTTGTTGTTGTTGTTTTTTAACTGCTCCTCTTCTGAATAAGGAAACACAACTCTCATTTCAATACATGTGTTCTATCTTAGGCCGTGTTTTATTTTGAGGATGAGTTAAGGATAATATCATAAAAAGATACAGGAGAGTTGGTTCCCTTTAAAGTATCTACTTGTTTTAAGTCATAATTCTTGTATTTTAGGTTGTGATGTCTGACACAATATCAAAATAAATATGTGACCTTTAACATTTTCTAGTTGAGGATTTTCTTTGCCATGATAGAATAAAATTGATTTTTTTCTTATACATAGTGTATACCCTATAGGATATCTTTAACTTGTCTTTTAAAAGGAAAGTTTTGGGGATTTTTTTTTTTTCTGGAAAATGCATAGACAATGAACTCTTAGAATTCTAAAATTGTACCATATGTCATCACATTCCTGAGTCCCCACATGAATATTATTAATCTTGATATCATGCATAGCATCTCACAAGTGGCCCTTGCCTTGGAGATCTCAAGGGTCACTTTGGGCTTTTCCCTTGTGGCATTAATAGATTTGTTCATGGCACTGGTTTCTTTATACTTCTCCTTTGTGAATATTATTTTAATTTTTTCTGTAGAGTCCACATGTCTTCATTAGGGAGATAATTTTTCACTTATGTCCTTGAAACACCATAGGGGCAAAGCACTGTAAGGCTGTCTTGTGATTGGATCTCATCTTATTTATCTAGAGAAGATAAAGAGGCTTTCCTATTTTATCTGGATGAAGACAGTTTGCAGGAAGCCAAATTCAAGGCTTCCCCCCTTCCTGTACCCTTAGGCTTAAACCATTTCACCAGAAGTTCCCTGGGATGAGTGGCATTGTCTCTTTTTGGCTTCCTTGCTGATGCCCAGGACTGCTACTTTTCTCTTGCTCTTTGGCTGCCCATGTTATAGCATCTCACTTGTTTCTGTATTAACAGGTCTGGAAAGAAATAGAATAATATGCATTACATATACAGAATATATACATATATATACTATATGGAATAAATAATATCCTGAAATGGTATTTGGAGTGTTTGCTGTTTTGTTCTTTGCTCTACATTTAATGCCAGTTCACAATCACTTAATTATTGGCTTTTTAAAAAAATAAGTGCGAGAGAAGGCAGCAAGCCAACTGTGCCTTACCACGGGTTTCTCCTACCTTGTATGAATCCCTTCCCGCTGTTTTTGTTTCAAGCCTCAAAACTGGCTGTCCCACTCTGGAAAAACTGAGTTGAATGATGTATTACCAAGAAGAGGAAAAATATTTTAAAATTATAATTCAAAAACCAGCCAAAGGGAGATTTGGGAATATTTAGAAAAGCTGATAGTGATTCAGCACCTTTTCTTTGGTACCATGAACTAATTTCTTAGATTAGTTTCAGTTCTTCATTTCTTCTCTCCTGACTCTTTTTCATTTTTGGATCCCTTGTCTTCATCACCTTCTTTTCCCTTTCGATGCTTAAGCATCCTTTATGGCAGAGGAAGTGGTAGATGAGTCATGATTCTGGAGGTGCTCTTCTTTAACGGAGGGACACTGAGAAAGTGTGACCCCTGCTGGCTCTGTTTTTTTTTTTTTTTTTTTTTTTTTTTTTTTTTTTGGCTTGATCTCAACTTTCTTCCTAGAGCAGTAACAGTTAAACCAGTATCTATAAGGCTAATTTCAAAATAATCAAATAGCAATATAAGATATTTTGCTTGGTGGTTTACAGGCTTAAAGTTTTTAAAAGATTTTTTTGTTAGTATCAAAGCTTTTTCTTCAAGTTCTCATCTGGAATCCCAATATATAAATAAAATGATTATTGTTTCTCATGGGGGGGAAGAGGCATGATTTATGATTGACAAGAAGCTGAGACCTACTCAGGTTCAATGTCTTGCTCTAGATCCCATTAGCAACTTACTGTATTTCCTTTGTTGGCTCACCAAATATTGAACCTGTCTAAGCATTTTTTTTTTTCCCTCTGAGTTCACCCTTACCTACAGCAGGAAGTTAATCAGATTGAGGCTAAATGGCCATCTTTAAGAATCTCTTGGAAAAGATTCTTCACCAAAGGGGGTGTGCGTAGAGGGGGAGATTGGAATTGAACTGGAATCCCTGCCAGGCCCTTCCATATTGGGTTCTCCAATGGGAGGGTCCATAAGTGGTCTTGTGAACTGCACACTTACTGTTGTGGGTCACCCTTCAGATTTTTACATGAGTTTGCAAGTGGACCCAGCTCAGCACTCCCTTGTCCCTGTTGGAAGTTGATGTACTGTAAACAAGGGTTATAGGTACAGCCAATTTTTAATAGAATGAAAAAGAGTTCCCCCATTGTCACGTTATTTCTTGGGTAGAACAGAATACTATCCATGTTCTGAGTTATTCCTTAAAAAGGCATTGGGAGTCTTGCAAGTGTATCAGGAAATGGACGATATGTTCATTGTAGCCTCTTTATCTCTCCCACCTTGAACCAGCCTCACTACTCCTCCCTTTCCCGTTTCTCCAGTCCTAAACTTAGTGAGGAGTCAGGGGTACCGAGGAGCGAGAAAGAGGTGTGGGTCAAGGGCGGACAGGCCGAGCAGCCACGCTGTGCTTCCCCGCAGGGGTGGGCGAGTGATGGGTGGGTTCCCTGCCAGCGATCGTCCATGGCCCCTTGTGCCGCGGCCTTCCCAGCTTTGCCGTGTTCTCTCTTTCAGCCCCGACAGCAGCCGTACATCTTGCCTCCCATGCACGTCCAGTGTGGGGAACACTACTCGGAAACACACACTTCACAAGGTAACCGGGGCTTGCCATTTTCCCTTCTTAAGACGAAAAGTTGAGTACCTGTGAGCAGGAAAGACAGTTTTTTTTTTAGACGACAGTCATACTTTTGTCTTGACTTTGTCATTGTCTGAATGACGGCAGCACTTTTGATGTATGAAAGGCAGAGAATGTCACTGGCCCCGGAGAGGAAGGTTTTTCCAGAATTGGCTGCCAGGGGAGTTGGGAGACGGAAGGGGGCAAGTTCCTTTTTCTTCTGCCTCTGGTAAGTGGGCTTGGAGAAGAGAGAGGGCCAGTAAGCCCAATCGAATACTCTTCACCCTCACTGCCCTTATCAGAAAGTTTGTAACAGTGCACTGGGCTCTCACGGTGACGGAGAATACAGACATCCAGAATACTTAGAACAAAGGCACAAATCCTCCCAACTCTTTTTCACTATTGTCTGCCAGTTGTCTGTGCACTTGTTCTTGCCTCCAAGTAAATCTCTTTTCTTCCTCTTTTCCTCCCGCAAAACATCATCATGCAAAATGTGTGAGAAAAATCCAATCCAGTAATAATGATTCTAATAATCACAATTAACATTTATAGAGCAATTCCACTCCCGAAGCACTGTGCTAAGCCCTTGCAACGTATTGTTTCATTTAATCCTCAGCATAAATCCTCGCTATAGGTACCATTATTCCATTTTGCAGATACAGAAAGTGGGATACAGAAGGGGAGTTGGAGGAGCTTGGAGAGGAAAATTGGTGTCAAGAGCCAGAGCTCTTCGTCATTACACTAACGGCATCTCAGAAAAGGAATGAAATTAAACTGGGAGGCTGACAATATGTTAAATGTATCATTAGTTTCTGTGTTATCCTATGCCAGCGATTTTGAATTTCTCTGTGCTGTCAGAGTGTGCAATTGGAAACTTAGATAATGAAGGCTATTTAATAAAACACTTACTTTTTATAAGAAGACTAGCAAAGTTTCCCTGCTTCTGTGGGAAAACACCAAACCCCAGTAGAGCTAGAAGGGGAACACTTTTGTCTCCGTGTTCTGCTGGGTTTTCTTACCCAGCAACTCTCCTCTAGTCTGGGACCACCCTCCTCTTCGAGCAGCTGAGTGTTTTCAGTCACCTTTTCTGGTTGGTTGGGGGTGTTTTGTTTTTTTGTTTTGTTTTGTTTGTCTTTCTGCCTTGTCTTCCTTTACTTTGCTCATGCTTAAATCCATAGTGTGAACGTGAATGTACTTTGCCCACCGAAAAGTGTCTCAGCAAGAGGTTGCCTTCCTCAAGGGGTGTGTGTGTGTGTGTGTTTGTGTGTGTGCATGTGTGTGTTTTAAAGGAACCCCAGACACCTAGAATGGGCCTGACTTTAGAAATGTACTTTTTATCTCTTTCGATACCTCCTTGGACTCTTATTAATTTGAATGTGAATTGACCTCAGTGAGGAAACTGATTTTAGAGGAGAGTTGTAGGCAGTGGCTGAACTCCTGATTCTGCTTTTGCCCTGCTCTGGGAGCTCGTCACAGCAAGCTAGCCATGCACGTGGACGTCATGACTGCATCCCTGTCTTGTGTCTTAACGCTCAGCTGTCCCTCAGGTGAAGGGACCTTTGCCGACACAGTCAGGAACCTAAGCCACAGGTGCTCGGTAATGTCAAATCTGTTGCCCTGTTGAAGTTCTTGACTTCCCGGCCCAAATATCCAGTCCTCTGTTGCTGACCCTAAACAAGAAGACAGATTCACCCAGCATGAAGGCCATTGTTGGTGCCTGATTTCAAAACTGATGGCAAAATCGAGAACTGACCCAGGTAGTAACTATTCCAAATGGGCATGGCTTGCTTTGATTAGATTTTTTTTTTAGTATGCTTTCAAGGGTTCCTTCTGTATGTTGGCACCTCACCCAAAATTCCTAGTTTTCCTGTGGAACATTTGGGTGGAGACCCTAGGGTTTCACTTTTCATGACTTCTAAAAAATCACACCCACGAGTGTGAGGGGGAACTCAGTGGAAGGAGGGCGATGTGGGGGCTCACGTGCCTTTGTTTGACTCCTTGTAGACAGCATCGTCCATGGGAACGAGGAAGCTTTATATCGCAACTCTCACAACAGCCTGGACTTGAACTATTTAAACGGCACCGTCACCAACGGCAGCGTGTGCAGTGCGCACAGCATCAACTCCCTCAGCTGCTCGCAGACGTTCGTCCAGGCCTCTCCTGTGTCCTCCAACCTCAGTATTCCGGGGAGCGACATCATGCGGGCGGACTACATCCCGAGCCACCGGCACAGCGCCATCATCGTGCCGTCTTACCGGCCGACCCCCGATTACGAGACAGTCATGCGACAGTTGAACAGGGGGGTCCTGCCCACGGACAGCCAGAGCCAGTCTCTGCGAAACCTCAACATCATCAACACGCACGCCTACAACCAGCCGGAGGATCTGGTGTACAGCCAGCCCGAGATGCGGGAGCGGCACCCCTACACCGTCCCCTACGGGCCCCAGGGCGGCTACGGTAACAAGCTCGTCAGTCCATCCGACCCGATGAACCCAAAAAACTGCACGGTGCCGAGCAAGCCGGGGGCCAGCGCCATCTCCCACACGGTGAGCACCCCCGAGCTGGCCAACACGCAGCTCCAGGGCGCGCAGAGCTACAGTGCGGCCCACATGCTCAAGAACTATCTCTTCAGGCCGCCGCCCCCCTACCCGCGGCCGCGCCCTGCCACCAGCACCCCGGACCTCGCCAGCCACCGCCACAAGTATGTCAGCGGCAGCAGCCCTGACCTGGTGACCCGCAAAGTGCAGCTCTCGGTGAAGACCTTCCAAGAGGACAGCTCCCCGGTGGTGCACCAGTCTCTGCAGGAGGTGAGCGAGCCCCTCACGGCCACCAAGCACCACGGCCCCGTGAATAAGCGCCACAGCCTGGAGGTGATGAGCAGCATGGTGCGGGGCATGGAAGCCATGACCTTGAAGTCCCTCAACATCCCCATGGCTCGCCGGAACACCCTCCGGGAGCAGGGGCCCCCCGAGGAGGTGCCCGGGAGCCACGAGGCTCACCAGCTTCCCCATTACCACCATAAGAAGACTCTCTCCGACGCCACCATGCTGATCCACAGCAGTGAGAGCGAGGACGAGGAGGACGAGGAGGTCCCGGGCTCGGTGCCACAGATCCCCGTGCTCCGGGAAAAGATGGGGTACAGTGCCCAGCTACAGGCAGCCTTGGCCCGGATCCCAAACAAACCCCCACCTGAGTACCCCGGCCCAAGGAAGAGCGTCAGCAATGGGGCACTGAGGCAAGACCAGGTTGGCCTGCCTCCTGCCGTGGCCAGGGCCAGGGTCCTGAGACACGGGCCGGCCAAGGCCATCAGCGTCTCCCGAGCCGACCAGCTGGCCGTGGCCGGGCCTTCCCTCGGTCCGTCCATCTCTGAACCCGACCTGACGAGCGTAAAGGAGCGGGTCAAAAAAGAGCCTGTGAAGGAGAGACCCGTGTCCGAGATGTTCTCGCTGGAAGACAGCATTATAGAGAGAGAGATGGCGCTCAGGGTAAGTGTCCTGCTCTCCTGGGGCGGGGTCTGCGTCCCCTGCAGTGTCCTCTGCCTCTTTGCCGTGACTCTGAGTACGGAAGCACCCGGACGTTGGGGAGTTGGCGGATCAGTGAGCATTTCAACAGGCTGCTTTCTTTCACAGAACTTTGTGTCTCACCCTTTCGGTTCCATCTTCCGTTTGCACTCAGGGCCCCTGACTGGTATACTTGCACCATGCACTGCCGTGGACTTAGGATGCTGTGTGCAGGCTGGTTGTCGGGCCGGGGTCCGGGCCGGCGTCGTGCCCTCTGTTCAGGGTCAGGCGTCCCGTTGTGTGAGCTGCTCAGAGCTCTCCTTCCTGCGTCTCCTGTTGGTTCTTTTGGGGGAAAGCTTGTTTCCCCCGATTAGATCGTGGGAGAGAGCGACCCCCCCTCCCGAGCGCAGCTCTGTGTGGCGATCTCTGCGTCAGGACAGCTCACTGGTGTTGACCACACCGGGACGTGTCGGCCTTCCTTTCAGATTTTCTTTCAACGGATGTTTAACACAACCCAAGAACACAACAGTAAACTCACGAATTCACCAGTGAGCTTCAGTTCCCCATTGAGCTCATTCTGTCAGAATGCACGTGTGTGCATGTGAATACACGCGTGCATCTACACACAGGTACAACGTTTGAAGATGCCTGATATTAGACATGAGTCACTGTCTTTCAGGATATGTGCCAGCTGGAGGGCCGGGTATGGTCCGAGCAAGAGTGTGTAGGTAACAGGTGCACACACAGACTGACAAAGTGAATTATGTCCTAATGAGAAAATTGCTAGATTGTAGTTGGGACTTTGAAATTTTATTTATTTATTTTATTTGAGAGCGAGAGAGTGAGCGAGGGGAGGGGCAGAGAGAGAGGGACAGATTCTCAGGCGGACTTCAAGTCAAGTGCAAAGCCTGACCCGGGGCTCGATCCCATGACCCTGAGATCATGACTTGAGCTGAAACCAAGAGTCAGACGTTTCGCTGACTGAGCCCCCACCCCTCCGAGGTATCCCTGTAGTTGCTACTTAAAAAAAATAATTCAGATTACTGCTGCTGCTTGTTCTGGACATTTTCACTCCCTTAAAAAATGAAAAATCACATCCTTACAACTAATGAGACAGTTCTTGACTTCTCCTCTGCATGTACCAAATCTCTACATAAGGTAGCTGGCACGTGGGAACTCCAGGCCACCTGCCAAGTTAAATTTGCTTCGAGGGGGCTTCTTAGACTCCCTTCCTTTTACAAGTCTCCCTGCGCCCTATGGGTAATCAAGCTGAAGAGAACAGCTAAGGGCCAGAGTTTTAAGGAAGCCACGTTTTGGGGTTGAGGAATCTAATCTGCAGCAACTTCATTACTTTAAACAAATTTTCAGAACATTCCCAGCAGCCCAGATTTGGCTCCAAGTAGAGTAGCACTAAGAATTTGCTACAGGCATAACTTTTTCCACTTTTTGCAAACCTAGAGGGAAATTGTGAAAGATGTGCTTTTGCCTCTGGCCAATAAAACCATTTGGCTGGGGGATGGAATGAAACACGGGGGTGGCGCCCTGGGGAGAGCTTTCCCAGCTTGGAAAAAGTCATGCTTTGGTGGAGATGGATTTTCAGGGTGTTTTGGCCCCGGCGGCTCCTTTACCACAACTCAAGAACCTGTCAGTCAGAGCATTCGGCTCTGCTGTTTCCCGTGCTGATTTGAGGTTTATTGATACCTTCATGGTCCCATAAACTCATGGTGGTCATCTTATCCTCTCCTCCTGTTACCTGTGTTAAACAAAACCCTGGATCCAAACCCATGGCCCTGACTCCCTACATAGAGCTTCTTGTGCCGTCACAGAGAAGGAAGGGCGTTTCCACCATTTTCCCCATGGGCTCACCCACCCCATCCATATGGAGAATAGTGAGTAACTGATTTCATCCCTTAATTGTGGCGCAGGAACATCGGTATCCCGTCCCTATTTCATTTCCCATTGATTTTTTTTTCCAGATTATATATACTCAGGAGCTCAGGGATCGCTGCCCTTGGCTGATGTCTTGACCTTAGAGAAGGACTAGGAGGTTCTTCAGTGAGCCACTGTGCCAGTGAGATGGTGACAGTTCCGGTGGCCCTGAAGGTTGGGGTGGTTCTCCATCTGCTGTTTTTGATGAAACAGTGAGAAAATCTAACCAAAGGGGAACTGGGCGGCAGGGGTGGGGGTGGGGGTCGCAGGTATGGTGGGAATGTCCCCTGTGGCAACTCTCCATAATTTTGGAGCCACTTGTCTGTTTGATGGATGATTCAGGCCTGCTGCTGTGGTAGCTCCTCCTTCCGGCTGCTACTGCTGCCTTGAGGACATTTCACTGTCTAGCTCCTGAGCCCCAAGTCGGGTGCCAAGAAGAGAAAAAGCCAAATCAGATTTCTGAGTTTTTTTTTTTGTTTGTTTGTTTGTTTTTTTAATCTCTGGTAACAAATGTATGGGGTAAATGAGAAGGAACTAAGAAAAATCGTTTATCACTGGGGTTTTGGTTTTCACTAGGTAACTAGTAATCCTTTTCCAAGAAAGACAAGATAGTTACTTTTTGCCTTAGGCCTTGTTAGTGTCCCCTTATGGTACAGATGGAAGGAAGCAGAAGGACTGTTTGGAGGACCTTAGGGACTTTTTTTTTTTCCCCAAATGATTGCTTTTCTCAGAATTTCACAGAGGAAGTGAAATGTTCCCAATTAAAAGAGATAACGGGAAAATTATTTGTCACTAACACTAATAAGCAAGCAAACAAACAAAAGCCCCAAAATTGAAATCCAGAATCTTCAAACTCTTCCTGGGATTGAGAAGCCGGGACCATTCTTTTGGCCGAAGGTGAACCTCAGCCGAAACTTTTCTCACTCTCCCAGTTAGTCTTCCACTGAGATGTTCCTTTAGTTTGTCTGCTGGGCTGGTTCTGACAGTGGATGAAGCCTCACATTGGTGGCTATCCCTCAGAAAGGCCAGAGCTCCATTCTGACTTTGGGTGACATTGAGAGGCTGACTGTGTGGGGTTGTAATGCCCGCCTGTCCCCCCACGCTTGGCATAATCTGCTAACTCCTTGTCCTCTGCCAGCACCATGGCTCCATCACCACCGACCTCTCAGGGGAGTAAACTTATAAATAATAAACTCAGGGGAAAAAAAGGACCTTAAGCCTTGAAGAGAAACCAGGGATAAGATGACCCCTTCCCGTGTGGCATCCAAAAGGACCTATAGAGTAGTTTTGCTTCTGTCAGGAGCAAAATCTTAAATGCTGTTTAACTCCTCTGCTCATATGCTTTAGGAAGTCCCGTTATTTTTCTGTCTTCTAAGACAAAATTATTTTTGGGAAATGCTCTCACTGGATTGCCTGAGTAAAATGGGTGCCTTTTCTACCTCAGTCCGTTTAGGGGGCACTAGGGAGCGTAGCCTTAGACGTAACAGCCAGAACCTTGACTGATCCCGTTTCAGAATGTTGGTGCAGGTGAGGTTGGAGAGGAAATCAAAAATGCCACCAACAAGACCTCCAACCCTCTCCCAGAATGGGCTGCTCAGCCCCCAAATCCATATTCTCCCATAGCTGTGTCCCATTCAGTAATGTCCCACCGTGACCATTGGGAACCATGGGGCCCATTCCTTGGGGCCTTACGGATGCAGCAGGAAGGGTAATGCCTCACGGATCACGCTGGACGACCGGAGACTTCGGTGTTGGCAAGTCTGCTCACCCGCATCTCCCTCGTACTGCGGACCGTCCCAAGGACCAGAGCTCTAATATAGGATTGACTCTCTCCATCTCCGCTCCTCAGAGTGGAAACTTGGGAAGGTTTTTCTTTATGGTTTGTGAATCTGCATTTCTTAACGATGTAACAAACCATGTTTATGGCTTTTCGTTTGTTTTTTTTTTTACATCATTTGATCTGACTAAATGGGCCATCACTGTGACTGGATTGGCTGTTTCTCTCTCCCTCGCTCTGTCTTCCTTCAGCCCTTACCTTCTAGAAGCATCTTGCTAGTACACAGTTTTGCTTTTTTTCTTTTTCTTTTGGAGTGAGCCCCATGGCAGGGGGCTATTTCCATGGCATCTTTGCTCTTACTTATTTGTTTCTTAGTTCATTCAGTCATCCATTTTTGGATAAAAGCTCAGGAGTCCCGGAGGACATGGCTTCCGCAGACACAGTGGGAAGAATGGGAAGGCTGTGTTTGAATCTGCCCCAATAATGGTGATTGTCTGCATTCCTTGGCTGGGGAGTTACAGATTTGGGGAGATTAAAACACATTCCAGCATTCTACCCATATAATAAACAATGAGAACATGCCTTTTCTTGCCGCAAGAATCTAGAGAAGCAGAAGATGGCCACTCTGGAGGCACAGAAGCGGCCGCTCATGTTGGCAGCATTGAATGGACTCTCCGTTGCCCGCGTCTCGGGGCGGGAAGACAGTCGAGCCGATGCCACCCGAGTTCCCATGGATGAGAGGGTAAGCAGTGGGCTTGTCAAGTGTGTGATTCATTCTCTGTGATCTTGGGGTTCCAGAGCTCTCTCCTTGCCCAAACATGCCAGCCCTGAGATTTGTTTGATGAATTAATTCCCCAGTTTGAGATTAGCAGGACCCGGTGTGTGCATTGTATTAAATTGATGCTTTCCAGCATCTCAAGTTTCTTCGTCGAGTCGAAGCAGTGATGCCTGCCTAACGGGACCTGCCCCTAGCAAGCCGCATGGCCTTGGTCCAGTCACTCCATTTCTTTGGACCTGTTTTGTTGGTTTTTTTTGCAAAACAAGGAAGTTCAGCCGTTGCTGTAGCTCTCAGCCTCTATGATTTAGTGAACCATTACCCTTTCTTAGGGAGTGATTATCTTACCCAGATATTTATAGAATTCTTTTAATAGACCATCCCCCTATTTGGCTGTAAAATGTGGCTGATTTATCATTGTTAGGATAATGCACTGTGAGAACTTTGGTTTTGAAAAGCGGGAAGAAGCCGCATGCTAGTGTTTTAGAGGTGAAGAGAGGTGTTCCTTTAGTTCCTGAAATTACTCTCCAGTTAAGAAACACGTGTAAATTTAATAGAGCGCTAGTAGCATTCCCGTTTTGGATTTCTGCCAGTATATATGAAGTATTAGAAAGGCCCGGTGGTGGGTATTAAGGAGGGCAGGGATTGCATGGAGCACTGGGTATTAGATGCAAGCAACGAGTCATGGGACACTCCATCAGACACTGAAATTCCAATGATGTACTGTGTGGTGACTAACATAACAACAACAACAAAAAAGGTTTAAAGGCAGAAGGGACTTTAGAGGAATCATTTAATCCAATGAATACCATGTGTTTGTAATGAGTAGTTTGGCCATGGGAAAAATAAAAGACAGGATCTCATCTTCAGAACTAGGGAACTATAGATCAGTATCTTAAATTTATCAACAACAAAAACAAAAAACAGAAAACAAAACAAAACACTGCTCTGGAAGTGGAGAAAAGGATGTTTGGGTAATTGAGAAGAACAGTCTTCTTATCCCTGGGACTTTAAACAGAGGTGTTAACAAAAACACTGATTTTGAATTTGGGTTCTTGCCTGGCCTTACTGATTACTTCTGTTTATGCGTGAGTGAGAAGGAGATTGGTTATTGGGCCAGAGACACTAGCACTATGATGAATAAGGAGACCAGATAATTCGGCATTCGTTGTACCCCCGAAAGTACCGATTAACACGATCGCTGTAAACTATTTCAAGAACTCTGACCCGTTGGAGTTTTTGAATAAGGTAATCCGGAGAGCTGAGGATTAATTTCTGTTGCAGTTCAGAACCCTGAAGAAAAAGCTAGAGGAGGGAATGGTGTTCACGGAATACGAGCAGATTCCGAAGAAGAAGGCGAACGGCATCTTCAGCACGGCCGCGCTGCCGGAGAACGCCGAGCGAAGCCGCATCCGCGAAGTGGTCCCCTATGAGGAGAACAGAGTGGAGCTGGTCCCGACCAAAGAGAATAACACGGGTTACATCAACGCCTCCCACATCAAGGTGAGGGGGCGGGGGCGGGGGCTTGTGGAAGATTGCGGGGTTCGAGGCAAAAATGCAGGGAGGAAAAAAAAAAACAACCATCCGGCTCCGACTGAGCCTCTTGGCTCGTCCCCAGCCCCCGAGGGAGTGTTTTTGAATTCCGTGCAGCTTAGTCAACCGGACGGGCATGTCCGTCACCGCGGAGAGAAGGGAGCCTTGCAGCCTCCGGGAGAACCTCGGGTCCGCGATTCCTGCGGTCCGCCCGCCGCAGGGGAATTCGCTTTTTCCTCTCCGTGAGTTACAGCAATCCCCGGCGCGCACACGGGAAGCTCAGGGTGTCCTCTTCGGTTCGTGATTCGCACACGGTGGAGACTTTGGAAGTCGCAGGCGTTGTGTTTGTCCTATCAGGGACGTCTTTAGGGGGTTTGGGAGCCACGGAAACTGACCGGTTCTCCCCGGTCCTGTTGCGGGTCGTGCGCTGTCCCGCCGAAGTCCCCGGGGTGCACCGTGTTCCGAAGAGCGGACCCTGCGGCGCAGGCCGTGAAGGTGCCAGTGGGTGATGCGGATCTTGCAAGGTTGGCCGCGTTCGTTAGCGCGGGAATATCCTCCTTTCTTTGTTAGTATCTCAGATACTTCAGATCTTCACATCTCAGTATTTCACCAACTTGAAAAGTAGCCTCGCTGGACCCCAGCTAGAATTTAGAGTTCTAGATGCGTGGTTCCATGGTTAAATGTCTCCTACGTGGCTTACCGTCCTCTGTCTTCCCAGTAATAGAACGCAGTTGCTTGGAATGTCACTGCAGGCTCTGACCTCCAAAGTGGGAGAATTTATTCATATACTAATAGTACAGCAGGATGTTTTAAATCATCCACAGTTCATGTTAATAGTCGTGTATGATCATAACCTCAGAAATCTATTTCTGGCCTTGTTTGGTGTTATTTCCTTTCCTCGTTGGACTTTCCAACTGTAGCTGAATTTTTGGTAGGTTCCTCTGAGTCTCTAAAATACAGCCATCGCTATCTTAAAAAAAAACACTATATAAAAAAAAATTAAAAATAAATAAAATACAGCCAGATGTCTGGTGCCTGTGTCCGTTACAATAGTTGTAGGACAGAATAGGAAAAGAACACTGTGGTTGGATGTAGGGGTTTTGTACACAGAGCATAGATAACCACGTGTATATTTTTAAGTACCAGAAAGTACTGTGCAAAAACACAAAGGGGTTACTCTTGTGGATCATACTGGGTATTTTGGTTTTAAGTTTTGAGAGTGAGAACTAGAACGATACAGAATGAACCCGAGGAAACTCTTGAGTAAACTGACTCCGCTAGTTTCCTGGGCTTAATTTAGATTAGGAAATAATAGCCAGAGTAATGAATCAGACAAAGATACAAATCGCAGAAATGCTCCTTGGTAGAATATCTTTGGACCCTGACACAGCTATACCATGCTGTCTTCTTCTTTTGGCCAAATATCCTTCATCGTTTTCCATCTGCGTTCTGGAAAAGCTGTCAGTCTGCATCAGCTTCGCCCACCGGGTATTGTTAACAGAAGCTTCCCTTTCCTCTGTATTCTCCAAGGCCTGCATTTCATCCTGTGGATCTGGGTTAGACATGGGTGCATTTAATAGACCCGTAGAGCTTGTAAGAACTTGTCCTTGTGTTTTTCGAATAGAGCTGTAGATCTTGCCAATGTTTGCTCCCTGGGTTCCAAGCAGCTATTAACATAGAGCCGAGATTGATTTGCTCCAGAGGTAGAATCATGACATCTGTAAAATCTACCTCAGTAGCATTGGTTGTTGTGTTCTAATGCAGTTTCTAATGCCCTCCTGTCAATACTTGGAATTTGCTGATAGGCCCCAGGCAGCCGCATACTTTGGAAGTATTTATGGTTCCTATATGTTGGGTGCCAGAGAGGCTAATGTTTAAAATCACAATTCCACAGATAAGCGAAACTCCTCGCCAGCCAGCCAATATATGAATGTTATCTCCCACCAGTACTTGGAAAATGGATTTCGCTTGCCAGCTTTGACCTAAACATGTCTTGTGTAATGAGACAATAACAGACATTGTTTTTGTTGGAATCCAGTTAGTATATAGTTTCATAAAATAAATGAGGGAAAAAAGTTTCAAACAAGGATCATTTCGTGCTCCAAGAACTATCTAGAGATTTGCACTGGTGGATGTCTAAGGAGGCCCGACTTTGCACAGGAATGGAAAGGAGCTCAGAAAGAATGCCGCCAAAGGGCACGATTTCACCCTGACAGCACGACCTTCAACACCTCAGGCACGATTTACTCCTGATTCTCTGCCACTAATACTTATAGCGACAATTAGTCTCCCAAGGTCATCCTGAGCTGCATGGGGTAATACTTCTATTTTCCAAAATCATCTCATGACTCTGAAGTTCGTTTGGATACTGTGGTACCGCATGAGCGAGAAGTCAACAGTCCGGTAGCATGCGTGGTTGCTAGAGGTGCGTCCGTAACACCTGTACGCGACACACGGAGTCGCGCGAACAGTGGAGGGTGACAACACAGTTCATAGCAGGTCATCAGTACAGAGACCTCACTTCCATAGGGATGATATTCCATGGTACACTTTTTTTTTTTTTTTATTGTGCAAAAGGATGGTGGAGAGTACTGTGCCTCAACCTGGGGACACAGTATAATAGTGGGGGTGTGAAATCAATTTCGTGATCAAGACCACTTTCAGGTTATGTGTGTGTGTGTGTGTGTTTTAAATGAAACAGACTAGACTAGAGAGGAGGAAAGAATAGAAATAATCAGTACCTTGTGCGTACTAAGCACAAGTATTATTTCTGTAACAAATTCTGTTAGGTTATACACACCCATAGGGTCATGCAATTTGAGTGTGTGTGTGTGTGTGTGTGTGAGTGTGTGTGTGTGTTTTTAACACTCACTGGTTTGTATATAATTACTATAAATTACAGACCACAAAAAAAAAGTATTTTAATAGGCTTGAGTGACAAAATGTATTTTCTTGTGAGAATGTGTTACCAGACTTTTTGATAATATCACTAACCCATTTGGCCTAAAATATTATCCACGATTTTCAGGTAGAGACAGATGGACCCATGGTCAGCAGGTAATGCTGTTCTAGATTTGGGGTTCATTTACCCTTGCTTTCCTTGGTTTCCAGGTGGTGGTTGGTGGGGCAGAATGGCACTACATAGCCACTCAGGGGCCCCTGCCACACACTTGTCATGACTTCTGGCAGATGGTGTGGGAGCAGGGAGCGAACGTGATTGCCATGGTCACTGCGGAAGAGGTAAGGGCGCTGGGGGTACAGCCATCTGTCCCCGGGGGTGGTGGTGGGGGCGGGAGATCGGCTCTGCATCTGGTGACCTCGCTGTCGCATCCTGCTTCCTCTACCACCATTTCTCTGCAAATGCTTTTTCTCTCTGGCACGCATTTCTTTTCTCTCCTCCCACATAGATTTGTTTTATTTCCCAAAGATAATTTATTGTCGTATCCCATTTTCATCCAGCTTATTAGCGCTTTTCCTTAGACTGCCATAAACTAGAATCCATCAAACAAACAAATAAGAACCGAACTTCAGTTCAGCCAGCTCACTTTTGTGTGCCAAACAGAGCGATCATCGCTCCCCTGGAATTTGAGGGAGAACTTGGGACTGCTGTGGGTAGATCGGCCCATATTCCCAGCCTCGGGCACGGCCAATCCCACACGCTTTCGTGCTTAGCAGCTGAAGAGAGACCAGAAACTGTTGTTCCTGTAGAGGTCTCTCTCTTCTCTGGGGAGAGGAAAAAAAAAATCGTTTCCTTTCTTTGCCAAGTCAAATGTAGTTTTTCTGTTGAAACTAGAGAACTCTGCGCGGTGTTCTAAAAACTGGTGCACGCTGCTGGTCAACCAAGCAGTTTGCTTGGACTTTGCTGCCTTATTTAAGGGAAGAAGTTTTATATTTCTTCTCTTGTCACGTTCTCAGTTTTTTTATTTTAACCACTTTCTTTTCTTCCTTTCATGAGATTTTAACTTCTGTTTTGAAGTCATTTAGGGGACCAGCTAGCATCATCTGTCTTTCACCAGTATCTGTGGTAAGGAATACCCCCTTCCTGGTGCCTGGGTGGCTGAGTTGGTTAAGCAGCTTCCTTCAGCTCAGGTCATGATCCTGGAATTCCGGGATCAAGTCCCAAATCGGGCTCCCTGCTTGGCCGGGAGTCTGCTTCTCCCTCCAACCTCTTCCCTCTCATGCTCTCTCTCTTTCTGTCCCTCTCCCTCTCAAATAAATAAAATCTTAAGAAAAAAAAAAAAAGGAAAAGGAATACCCCTTTCCTACAAATTTTTAAAGGGTGGGGAACAGCGAACTGAAAATGAAACTCATATTTCCTTCATGGACTGTTCTGAGTAGTTGCTTTCCAGAACAACCCCTTAAGAAGGTAGTGATGAAAGTCAGTTCAAGCCCTTTAAAACCTGTAGTACTTCTCTCGGCTGACTTGAGACCTTCCCACGAAGAGTAAATTCTCTGTAAAATGTGTAGAATCGTTTTTTTTGTCTTATGAAATCATACTACCGGAAGGGATTCATTCAACTCCAAACAGTGTGTCATCTGTGCTGACCAGGAGCCTGGTGGCCGACTAGATATGTGTGATCCCTGTCCCCAGGGAGTTCCTGTCTTGGTGGGAGGGACCAGACAAAGTGAACAAATAAAGGAAGCTCAGGGGGGTCCCGGCCACAAAGGAAGCAGAACGGAGGATGGCGTCAAGAGTGGTGGGGTGCTGCTTTTAGTCCGACGTGCAGCCGTGGGCCCTGCAGGGAGGTTGCAGTTGAGCTGAAACCTGGGTGTCCAGAAGGGGCTGGCCTGACAGGCGTGAAGCCTGGTGGTCTGTGTGGCAGCCAGAGACTTACAGGCCCTTGGAATTTGTCATCCGCTTGGACACTCAGGAGTGACAGAAGTTAAGGGAGGTTTTACTGACCTCCCTTGGTCAGTAAAAGAGGCAGGTGTCCTTCAAATGTAAGATTCCATTCAAGCAGATGAATTGGGACAGGAGCCTTTGTAGCCCCCCCATGGGTGTAAGCAGGGGGCCATCGGGGCTCCTCGGAAGAGCAGCCCCGGCGCCACGCTCAGTGCCCCAGCTCTGCCTGCTGCTTAGCCCTCCTCTGCCTCCTCCTGCTTCCTGCTCGGGGTTTCCTTCTAGGTCACCATCTGATCCACTCCCCACTACAGTGACTTAACCGTGCAAACCTCAGAAGCAGAGATCCCATGTTGTTCCTGCCCTTGGCCCTCTCCACTGGCTCTTCTCTCTCACGTTCAACTGCCGCACAATTGTCCATCTTCTGAGTATCTCTGTGCTGTAACTACTGCTGCGAAGGTCTTGGTGTCAGTGCCTGGGATCTCCCCTGTGATGGAGACTGCCCAGTGCCCTGCGTTAGTGACCTAGAAGCTGCTCGAGTTTGACCTGTCCTCAGAGTTTAAGAAGAAGGGGATAAGAGCTTTCCTGACTGTATTTCTGGTTTTGCTTTTGTGTCTGATTCAGGAAGGTGGACGAACCAAGAGCCACCGATACTGGCCCAAACTGGGTTCCAAGCACAGCTCGGCCACCTATGGCAAGTTCAAGGTCACCACAAAGTTCCGAACAGATTCCGGTTGCTATGCAACCACAGGGTTGAAGGTCAAGCACCTTTTGTCTGGGCAGGAAAGGACGGTGTGGCATTTGCAGTATACGGACTGGCCAGATCACGGCTGCCCAGAGGACGTCCAAGGATTTTTATGTAAGTTTTTTCTTCCCAGTCAGAATTTTACCAACTGCATCCATGGTCTGATAGTTGGAAGTGAAATGGAAAGAGATGTTTTCTCTTAAGTGGCAAATGTATCATTGAAGTGTACGTCCCTCCGTATGGTATGAAAGAGAAGAATAATACATGTCATCTGTCACAGTCCCCTTACCTTTTACCCAAATAAGCTGAAACTGTGGCAAACTAGTTCATTCCATCTTGATGTAGGCTTTTAGGTACTCAGTAATAAACCTGACAGATGTCATATGTCTGAGCCTTGAAAATATTATGCTAAGTAGCAGAAACCAGACACAAGAGGACAGACATTGTATGATTCCATTTTAATGAAGTATCCAGAATAGAAAACTTCACAGAGGTAGAAAGGGTAGATGTTACCAGGGACCAGGGGAAAGGGGGAATAGGGAATAGAAAGTTATTGTTTGAAACAAAATTTCTATTTGGGGCAATGAAAATGTTCTAGGAATGGGTCCCGGTGATAGTTATACAACCCTGTGAAAAACACTTATTTTTTAATTTTTCATGGGGGTTTGCATCTCATAAGCCCTGCATTTCCCTTCCTTACAACAAAAATCTCAATGAGTTCTTTCTGGTTACCTCTGATTAAGATACTGGGAATTCTTAAAATTGAATTGTTGTTTTTGGAACTATCATTTTTTAATTTGTCAATATATTTTTGATAGTATGGTTTTCTTAGAAGCTCGTTGATCTAAAATATATGCGGTATTTTATTTGAAAAGCTGAGTGTGTGCCCACTGCATTTCAGGCTCTGGATCAGGCTCTTAGAATCAGGGAACCATTTCTGTTTGGAAGGCACTCGAAGTCTCATGAGAAAGGCAGGCCAGTGAGGACAGTCCGGGGATGAGATCTGACGCTGGTGATGGCTACAGTGCTCCCCCTTCCTTTTCTGCAGTCTCACTTAACTGTCCTGCACTTGTGGGGACACCCCATTCCTTGCTCACCCAGTGAGGCCTCGGGCTCTCGGCAGATTACCTCTGTGTTGTTGACTTTCCAGTGGACAGAAGACGACTATAGGAACATCATCTGGATGTTGCGTGACGTCAAACCCTTGACTTTATTTTGATACTCACTTAGAACCTGCGGTATGCGCAGAGGAGAATGGAGGGGGAGAACAGGTCTTCAAGAACCTAAAAGGGACATTTCACAAGTTCCAGCGGGAAACTTCCAATGCATACCTGTTCCCTGCTGCGAGTACTTGCTTTCCCACTGGGGCAGTGATGGTGGGACTTGAGGGGGTGTCACAGACAACGGAAGGGGGATGGGAATCAAAGGACCGAGAGCAAGATCTAGAGAGGGTTAGTGCCTCAACTGAGGTCAGTTATCTGTAGCTCAAAACATTGATAATGAGGGCAGGGACCTTCGTAGAACTTTCTTTCCTCCTAACAGTGCTCTTTTTTTTTTTTTTTTTTTTCTTTTTCTGGTAAGCCTTTGCTTACCAAGCCTTTGACTTACCAGAATTATCTCCAAGATGCAGAAAAGGAAACAATAAAAGTAGATCAGTTTGATGACTGGCAAACAGCTCTGACAGAAGTTTGAGTCTATAAGGTGATGAAAATCATAGTCCCATCTTTTCAATCCGAACCAAGGAAGGCCCATCTAAATTACTGAAAAACAGAGAAAAATTTTTTTTCAAAGATTTATTAATTTATTATTTTAGAGAGAGAGTGTGGGGGGAATAGATGGGAAGGGGGGAGGGACAGAGGGAGAGAGAATCTCAAGCAGACTCCCTGCTGAGCACAGAGCCTGATGTGGGGCTCAATCTCAGGACCCTGAGATCATGACCTGAGCCAAAACCAAGAGTCAGATGCATAACAGACTGAGCCACCCAGGCACTGCCATAGAGAATATATTTAAACAATGTAAATTTATTGATGCTTCTAAGAAACTCAGTGTGCTGGGGGGCCGAGGAGTGGTGTCTTCGAAATGTTGGCCCTTCCAGGTTTTTAGGAATTTTGAAAAGATTCTTGCCTGTGTTTAAATTCAACTCCCTGGAGACAGGGGCTTAGGGCACATGGCTTCCAGCCTGGAGAAGTCTTCGCTGAGTTACAGCTTAAGGAACTTGATTCATGTGACTGCTAGGGAGCACATCCATTTTAATCCAGTTTCTCTGTGTTTTATGAAATTCCACGTAGTGGTAGCATCTGCTTTATGGACCAGTATTCCTTTCTCTTCTCTTCTTAAACCTAGCACGAGAGGAAGACCTGTCTTGTGTGTGGCAACATTGCCTTTTCTGTCTGAGAGTGCACGGTCACTGAATTTCTCAGCCCTCTCACAGAAAAACTGAGAATTCCATGCACCGTGTGTAGCTCACGTTGGTCCCGGGTAGTAACTGCTGTGTCTGGTCATCTCAGAGTTTGCCTTCCCTCTGTTCTTTTTTTTTTTTTTTTTTTTTTTTAAGATTTTTATTTATTTATTTATTTGACAGACAAAGATCACAAGTAGGCAGAGAGAAAGAGGGGAAGCAGGCTCCCTGCCGAGCAGAGAGCCCGATGCGGGGCTCAATTCCAGGACCCTGGGATCATGACCTGAGCCGAAGGCAGCGGCTTAACCCACTGAGCCACCCAGGTGCCCTGCCTTCCCTCTGTTCTGTTTTGGCCGAGCTCATTGTACTTTACCGGTGGTGGTGATGATGGTAATCGTTGACTTTGGTAAACTACTTCAGACGACTTTGTAATTGCATTAATGTCATAAAAGCAAGTAGGAGTTCGTAGTACTTGTATGTAAACAGACGCTTCTACGTCACTAGACGGGTTTGGGCTCCCTTTTGTTCTCTCCAATTTGAGCACTTCCCCAGTCTTGTCTACAATGCTTCATGGGGATGAGATTTTCTGAGTATCGAGAACATTTCGGTCAGTTTGTCCCCTGAGCTAGCTACTATAGAATCTCTATTTCTAATGGACTTCTTCAGTTTCTTGGACTGTTTGAGGATTACGTTTTATAGAATTTTCCTTTTTTTCATGCCCATGAACAGGTAAAGTTGTTAAGGCTTGTACGGCTGTAATTTGTCATTCGTGCCCAACTGGAATAGGGAACAGACCCCGGCGCAGCCCTGCCGAGCCAGGCAGATGTCAGGAGGGATGCGGAGGTGACAGGACCCGTACACACACACACACACACAC